TCCTCCTCAGCGGCCGAGGCCTTGACAATACAGTCAACTCCACTTTAAGTGTTAATAAAGGCTCTACTGAAGCATTTCCAACCAACTCATTCTTTAAAATTAGCCGCATCTATTGTACAGCTCTTTCCCTCTCTTCACGAGCAGGGTCACGGACAAAGAAAGACTCATTAGCAAGCCTGCTTTCATTTTTTTTCTGTGAAGTCAACATTACAATGGACTTTAAACTATATCCAAGAAATCATTATTATTCCATCTCTTCCAATTAGAGGTGCTGTATTGAGGAAGAAGTCTTCCAATTTAACACTTGACCTGCACCACCTAGGACAGCAGTGTTGTGTTCCTTCATCCAGGTTGTCTAAGTCAATCCAAGCATTTAAATACACTGCTGTAGATAACGTGTATTATTATGATGTACATATCGATTTCAACAATCAGAACCAAACTCTCCCCTTGGATTCTGTTGGTTTAGTTCAGACAAACTTTAATTGACAACTGGGCTAGGTGGGCATCAGGTCTTGAGACAACGTGATGGTAAATTCTACACCTCCATCAATACAAGACTGATAACCTTGATTAAATCAGCTGAGGGATGTGGGCAGACCTGGTGGGTGGTTAGAACACGCAGCAAAACTGCAGCAGGCAGCACTTTCTGGGGCACCACTCGCAGTAATCGCTCCCCCACGCAATCTTTGTGAATGTTCCGCTAAAGTGCCATACAGAAACAAAAGAGAAACAGGGCAACCTGACTGCAACAAGTCTCATGACGCAAGATCCAGGTTGAACGACCCCAGCGACAACAAACTAGTGTCAGCGAAAGGATAAGTGAAGACATTTACAGCCATGGTTCCAGCCCATATCAAATTTCTAAACATCCCAGGACATTTGCGCCAACTAAATCTGCCATTATACATTCAGGTTATAGATTCATATGCTGAACCACATTCTTTTTCTGGAACATGCGTGTTGCACAAAGCAGATCCTGCAAAGGGCAGTAATTCAGCTTGGATCAGCCCAAGGCCATTCCCACTGAGTTAAGAAAACAACCCTGGTAGAAGCATGAAACTTTTTTTTCTTGTGAATGTTCATCATTGTAAAAGGAGGGGTGGTCAGCCTCAAGCTATAGCGGCAATTTGATTTAAAAATCACACTTACATACGATACAAAGAAAACACAAAGTACGAACAGATAACCTAGATTAGGCAGCACGGCAGGGGGTGGGCAACTCGAAAACTTAATATGTCGACTCCGTAATCCACCTTAATATCGGCGGCCATTTTCGTCCCCAGGGAAACAGAGCAGTCACTTACAGCCTGTGGATTTCCTTAAGTGCTTATTCTTTGGAGGAGACAGAGATTCTGGCCCTATGGTCTACAATCATGGTGCCTGAAGCTGATACAGAGCAGCACAAAGAAAGTTTTTTTGTGTCTTCGGTGGTGCCTGGATCCCCATCCCTTCCAGTAACCACAGACAAAAATAAAGCAATTCTTCTAAAGTACAGATATAAAGGTCATGTTACAGGAGTGAATAATGCATGAGAAATATTGCTTGGCATTAAAACATCACACATGAGTTTCTATAGACCCTCATCGTGCACATACAATAAATCATTTTCAGTGCTCTCCTGGGGTTCAGGAGCCTGTGAAGTTAGTCATCTTGATTTGTGTTATGCAGGGAATATGTGCATGTTGTAAGGTACAAGATACGATCCTCTCAAAGCATAGCATTTATTTGGTCGTGTAGAGAAAAAAGAACACTATCATCACTGTATGTTTCCAGTATTACAAGCGCAGTGAAAAAAATGGAATTCAGATAGTAACGATGACTCTTATAAAGCATACATAGCCAGTAAATACTGTTGGAAAAGAAAGTACCTAGTAAAACACCAGCAAGACAGGAAGTCAAGCTTCCCAACTCAGACGTAAACTACACTGCAGCTGATTGTCAGAAGACATACATGTCAAAAATACAGCTGAGTCTAAATACCTAAATGGCTCTAATCATCGCGTACAATGATCCGAAACAAAAACAATTACTTAAAAGTACTGTATGTCTGTGAAGATTCTCTTAAAATGTCGCTTGTCGTTCAAAATTGCTATATACTAAAACTTGTGCGAAACATTTTAAAACAAATTCTACTAAAGTAGAAAACGTTTTCTGGAGACTATCAGGTGTCACGAAAGCACTTCAGAGTGTGTGAAAACCAAACACAGAGACACGTGTGAACGGCGCCATGCAAATCCGCTCCACTCCTCCTTTACCTCGTTTTCGCAGTTTTCTTGTCCATCTTTGCCAGCAGATTTGCCCGTTTTTCCAGATTTTGGAGTTTCCTGAAAAATTAGGCAACCGGGGCGTTACGTCGAAGTCAGAAGCAAATGGGCGCCTCACGTTAATGTATTCATGAGATGCCGACATCTTCCCATCACACAGAACAGCATACTGTACCAACCCGGAAAGTTAAGTCAAAGGCAACCTGCACCACAAACCATTACTATCAAAATGAGACACGGCGAGCAAGATATCTGATATCTCCTCTTATGTAATACAGTGATGAATATATGAGGCATACGACTTCCCCGCATTTATCCGTTCTCTCGCTGTGTAATGTACTTATAAGTCAATCTGACTAATGACAGACAGCGCACCTACACGGCAGGGACGCGGCTTGACCGTCAGTCAGTAAGACAGACAGCTGCCAGTCAGGTTAACCTAAACAGAACTGGTTAACTTATGGGACTCCCACCTAACTTGTGCTACTCAGATGTCTCATTAGTCTGAGACCCCGATTTTACTGTTATTTTTTGATACTTTAACACCGCAGACGGGAACGTGACTCATATGTCCATAAACACTTCAGATATTAAACTGCGTTTAAGAGAAAAGGCAAACTCACCTTCTCTTTTTTCGCTTTATTCGGCATCGCAGAGAAATGACCTCCCTCGTCCCCCTGCCAACACTCTCTTGTGTCTGCTGTTTTCACACACATACACAGACAGAAACACACTCTCCCTCGCGCGCGCGCGCTCGCTAGCACACACACCCTGACACACCGTGCAGCGGTTCATCTCCGCTTCGCCAATCTGATAGGCTAACGCTGGTCAGATGACCCAAGTCACTCTGCGGCTTAGGTGCTGGCAGTATTCACCTATGCAAAGATTTCTTGATTTACTTAAGAAATGCAAAAAGGCCTATGTAACCGTTATAATGCTTTATTTGCATGTTTATATGTCTCATAAAATATGTCTTTGTATTACGTTTTATTGGCTTTATCGGCTTAATTTTGAAGAATAAACACTGGAAAGATTCAAAGTGACATTACCAATTAAAGCTGAAGTAGATATTCTACCTGAAATGCAGTAGCTGAAATCAAGTGAAATTTTGGACAGCTGAACTGGTCTTCAGAGTACTGCATGCATAGCCGCTGGTACAATAACTCTTCTATTTCAAACTCAAATAATTAGATCTACTGGTGAGTAATACAGACCAATTCCCTTGGGCAAAGTTGTGTCACTCTGAAAAAATGTGAGTGGTTCCAGGGTATTAAGTGCTAAGAATTAGAAATGGTGTTTTCACCGTGCCGGTACTGTATTATTAAATCTGGGGAATAAGACGGACCAGTTCATCCCGACTGGTAAGATATATATAGATTCAGTTGAAAACGAGAATTATAAACCACGTACGTTGTATTGCAATATTATATAGCTGCTTACATGACCTATTAAAATGTACGGAGAAATGCAGTTGTTTAAAAAACCCTGGTTATGGATGTCAGGTTCACCCGATATACAGAGCAGCGTGGCTACTTAATTTACTTCGATACGAATTATAATAAAAATAAGACCAGAAAAATGTATCATATTAAATTCATGTCAACCCAGAGTACTTATATTCAGAGATTGTTTCCAAAATGAAAATGCTTAAATGGAAAAATCTAAACATATATAAGCACGTACGTATTACGATTTTAGGAAGAATACGAGTTCTATGTCGATTAAATATGCTGATCCGTTGAATAAAGCAGAACATAAATATAGATGTTAAAACCCAGGAGTACATAATGGATAACGTTTATCGTTTATGAAAGTTTCCCGCCCTCTGGTGGAGATTTTCAACGTTCATGGCTATGGTAAAATCAATAATTACAAAAGAATTGTAAAATTACTAATTATACGGCAACAATACTGGCATATATATAGGAAATGATATAATTTACAAACACCACACGTTTTTGATCTGAATTTCATAATATACTACAAATAGAAAATACTGGATTTTACGTACATATTTTATAATATATGTACAATTGTAAATACTAAAATAATAGCACATTCTTTGCAGTTCGGACAAACAAGGTCCATGTAAAATTTACAAATTCCGGTTCACTCTAAGAGAGATTTAATTAGCATTTGATATTATATAATTGAAAAATGTGTTCCACATTCACGGGTACTTGTTACTCGGTAGCTGACATTTGAGTAACACCTGAAACTAAAGCTTAAATTTACGAAATAACAAGGGGAAAAGTTAGCAATGATAATAAAGTTAGCAAAAGGCCTACGGCACAAGATATCGCTATTATAATCGCAATATAACAAAGACGCATAATAAATATCTGAATGTATCGATGACTGAATATTAAAAATATGTACATTAATAAATTAAATATTCGTCTGCAGAGCATAGTCATTTCATCCTGTAAAATCTTCAACATTTAGTAACTTCTCCCGAAACAATGTTCTATGTAAATGTACAAAGTAGCGTATTACAAGAATAGGCCTATAATTTCGCCAGGTAATGAACTTCTAGCAGCCGTATTCCATGACATTGCAAAAACAAAGCGAAGTCTCGTGTCGGTGCCTGGCTGTGATTTCACCACTTCGTTGAATTGTGGGTATTGTATTATTTTCACTGGCAGTAACCAATCACATTTCTTTACTATGACACACCAAATCCCAGAACCCCCCATATCTGTCTGGCCCCGCTGTCACTTGACTGTGTTCGCATATCAAGCCTCACTTCATTCGTGGCGAGGAGAGCGAAGGGCGGTGTTGTCGGTTTTTTATGCTGTAGCGGTCTTTCTCTGTTCAACAACTGTTTGTTCTTTTTTTCGCTCAAAATGTCTGACGGTGGAGGAGGCGATGACAGCGCAGTCACTATGGAAGTGTCTGCTGCTGTACAGACAGTTGCAGATATTTCGGTTTTGCAGAAGCACATCCGTAAACTTGTCCCCTTGCTCCTAGAAGATGGCGGCGAGGCTTCGGCCTCATTGGAAACCGCCCTGGAAGAGAAGAGCTCGGTGGAACAGATGAGGAAATTCCTTTCAGATCCTCAAGTACATACGATCCTGGTAGAGAGAAGCACACTGAAAGGTTGGTTTATTGACATTACCTTGGACATCTGTGTCTTGTGTGCTTTTCAGTGGTTGCATGAACAATGTCCTAATGATGCAGCGGATCTAGTAGTCATCTTAGTTATCTACAGTATTGAAGAAAGATGGCAGACATTGTCATCATGTAGATGAATTTTCAGTTTTATCCCCACATGATTTCTGTGAGTGTTGCTGCCTGATCCGTATATATATATTTTTTTTCGCCTAAAAAATGCGAAGGGCATCATTGTGTGTAGTACGGAGTTCCCAGGGCGTGACGACATGTGCAAGATGTTAAAAGAACAAATCGGGATAATTTTGTACTATTTCTGAGGTCAATGAAAATGACGATATCCCTCTAATATGAACAGATGAGCCAGGAATTATTTTGAATTAAGTCCGGTATCTACCCTGTCGAAATAACTAAATGTCGGGTTTTTGGTGGAAGGCTGCTGCTTTTGTGGCGCGTCTGACAGCTTTGATACGCTAGTCCTCCCCCCTTCAGGTTACCATCTAACAAATGAACCATTCCTTACTCTGAAATGCATCGTTGCCTTCATGCCTTGCGGATAGTTTTTGAGCAGATGATGGTCATCTGGCTGTTTTGTAATTTAGGCTTTCCCATTATAAATAGTTCATATGAAGATCCAAGTTTATATCCCAGCCCTGATTTAAAAAAAAAAAAAAAAAAAAAAAAACATTCGGAGATTCTGGTTTAACCTATTCCTATTTTGAAGCTGGAGGAGAGATTTAGAACTGGAACAGGACATGATTTGTTTGAGTAAAAAGTCCCTAAAAACTTTGTGTGTTTTAGTTAATCAAGACCGCTCACTTTGACCCATAACATTATTACTGTAAATGCCTTTCAGGAAAATTGATTACTGCTTTTCTTTAGAATAATTTTGTATGTTATATAAGTATCTTACTCTGTCGGCAGGTTAGCTGATGTTGCCCTGGCTGGGCTGTTTGCCTGTCCTGTTTGTTTCATGTGTTGGGGGTTTAAAAAATAAACAAGTTGAATAAAACCAAATTCTTGGGAAGTATGGTGCTGCATTGCAGATTTGGCCCTACAGATACTGGATATCTTCTGCAGCAATGACATCATTTCACTAGGAGCACCACCCACCCAGACATCAGCTGATGCTGAAACTGTCTGGGACAGCAATCCTTTGCATTGTATGTAAATGATAGGTATGGTGTCAAAGGATGCCAATGTTGAATACTGAAAATATTATTATCTATTTAGCACCTTTTTATCTGCACCCCCAGAGCCAGTCGTCCAACATTATAATTCTTTTCACTTCCCAGATTAAGATTTCAAACAAGTATTATTTTCTGTGCTGCTTCTTAAGTGATTTTGAGGATAAGTACTTGAATACACAGGGGGTGTCTTGGACATTTGATAGTTTTTGGTATTTTTGAAAATCCTTGTTCCAGAGGTGGTTTCCTAGATGTTTCCCATATTTCCTGGTTTCTTTGAGCAGCAGTTCTCGTGCCTCTGAAATCGAGGAAAGTGACATCTACAGGAAGTATCTCCAGCATTCCGCTGCCATTATAGGATTGAGAGTCTGCAGGTGGCAGGGAGCCTGAGAGAAAATTGCTGCTGATGCTGATTTCTCTCTGAATTCCCTTCCATCACTCTGCCACTTGTTTCTTGCTGCCACAGACTTGTGACAACAATCATGGGAACTCTTGATTTACAAATGCAAATTCGGAGAGATTTCAACAGAGCCTGTTATACCAATAGTGCAATGTGTAAATAGTTTTCATTAGACCATAATATTCCTGTTGTGTTTTAAGAAAAGTGTAACTAAATATAGGGTGTAGCAGAGTTGTGACAGTGAATTACAGTCATGCTTTGATAATACGGTCTAATGCTTACTTAACATGGTTGCATAGCTTGCATCTTCTTCCATTTAGTTGTCAATAACAAATTGCATGTCTTTATGCCTGATGTCCAAGTTCCACATTTTGAATCCATTCCAAATTATGATTGTTATTCTATTCTTGCTTTTGTCGGTCTGTATTGTTTTGCTGTTGGTTAAAGAATGTAGTGCTTTAAAACAGACAGATTGTTAGCAGCATGGCTCCAGCTACCTATTAATGGTTTCATTTTCATTCCTTTGTCATCCTCTTCCAATACGGTATGTCTGTTGCTCCCCCTCCCTTTTTATAGAGGATGTGGGTGATGAGGGTGAGGAGGAGAAAGAGTGCATCTCTTACAACGTCAACATTGACATTCACTACGGGTTGAAGTCCAACAGGTGTGGTACTGACTCATGTACTAGTCATTTTCTGCACTGTCATTAGGTCATTTCTTGAGTATTAAAATGTTATGCTGAGTAAAGGCATTAATGGCATATGCACTCTGAGTTGTTAGCTTAACTGTTCTTTGGGATCTAGGCCAGCGCACCCTTTTTCGTATAAATTATGTCCGTTTGATTTAAGTCAATATAAACCTGAACAAGTGTTTATGTGATGCACCGATTCTTGTGTGTGTTTGTATGTGTATAATATAAAACTGTTCCCCCAGCCTGGCCTTTATCAAGAGGACTGGTGTCATCGATGCTGACAAGCCCATTTCCTCCCAACTGCGTGTATTGACTCTGAGTGAGGATTCACCCTATGAGACACTGCACTCCTTCATTAGTAATGCAGTGGCTCCATTCTTCAAGTCTTACATCCGGGAGTCTGGCAAGGCTGATAGGTAGGCTTGAGTTGTATCAGGCCATTGTGTGTGATGAGTTCTTTGTAGCATGGAATGTATTGGGGGGTTCCTACATAAATATGCTCGTACCAGCTTCGCTTAATGTCTCCATGGATATTATGTGCTTCTCCAGGGATGGGGACAAAATGGCACCTTCTGTGGAGAAGAAGATCGCTGAGCTGGAGATGGGGCTGCTGCATCTGCAGCAGAACATCGAGATCCCAGAAATCAGCCTCCTCATTCACCCCATCATCACCAACGTTGCCAAGCAGTGCTATGAACGTGGGGAGAAACCCAAGGTCACCGATTTCGGTGACAAAGTGGAAGACCCTACATTCCTCAACCAGCTGCAGTCAGGGGTTAATCGTTGGATCAGGGAGATCCAGAAGGTGAGCAACCCTTAACATGTTTGTTTTTAAAGGTGAGGTTTCCATAGTTGCTTGGGAGTTATAATGTCCACAGAAGTTGGTAAGCAATTTAAGGCTTATGCATTTCTTTTATATCATGACTGAAAACATTTTTTTAAACCTTGTCGGTGACCGCTGGCTCTGCATGCCTTGTTATAGGTAACCAAGCTGGACAGAGATCCTGCTTCTGGGACGGCGCTGCAGGAGATCAGCTTCTGGCTTAATCTGGAGCGAGCCTTGAATCGCATCCAGGAGAAGCGAGAGAGCCCAGAGGTGCTGCTCACCTTGGACATCCTGAAGCATGGCAAGCGCTTTCATGCCACAGTCAGCTTTGACACAGACACGGGTAAGAATTTTGTCGCCTAAAAGGTTGGATTTTCCCCCATCTAATAAGAAACTTATTTGATCCCAGGGGGAAATTCTTATGCATACACAGTACACAAGCGTATAACACTGGACTTTACTAAGTCAAATGTGGAATGCTTCCTGATGTGTTACAGCTGGGGGTGGGGGGTAGCACGCTGGGAGGAAGCATTGTAATAGGAAGGAAGGATCCCCAGTAGTGCTTATTACATTGTGGTGGAATGAGCTGTTTGCTATAGATGCTCCAAGATGGTGTCCCATGGAACAGATGGGCAAAATTGCTTATTTTATCCCGTTTCTCTTTGTTGCTGTCCTGGGTCAGTTCTTCAAGTTATTTGTGTGGTTTATTGGGTTTCTTATTTAGAATTCTTATTCTTCCCCAGGTCTGAAGCAGGCTGTGGAGACTGTCAATGACTATAACCCCCTTATGAAGGACTTCCCACTCAATGACCTTCTGTCAGCCACTGAGCTGGACAAAATTCGCCAGGCCCTGGTTGCCATCTTCACTCACTTGCGCAAGATCCGCAACACCAAATACCCCATCCAGCGTGCCCTGCGCCTAGTGGAGGCCATCTCTCGAGACCTCAGCTCCCAGCTCCTGAAGGTCCTTGGCACCAGAAAGCTTATGCATGTGGCCTATGAGGAATTTGAGAAGGTGGGTTGTTGGTAGTCTATTGATAATGGTATGCTTGTTTATGCCTTTCTGTGTGTGTATGTAATGCATCTTATGGTGTCTCTCCAGGTGATGGTGGCCTGCTTTGAGGTGTTCCAAACCTGGGAGGATGAGTATGAGAAGCTGCAGGTTCTGCTAAGGGACATTGTGAAGAGAAAGAGGGAGGAGAACCTGAAGATGGTGTGGCGCCTTAGCCCTGCCCACCGCAAGCTGCAAGCACGCCTGGATCACATGAGGCGCTTCCGGCGACAGCATGAACAGTTGAGAGCTGTCATCGTGCGTGTGCTCAGACCTCAGGTAAAGAGACTTGCTCAAAGTCCAAAGATCCCCCACCCTTCCCTCCCGAGTGTGTTTTATTAAGAGTTTTTGTTTTGTAGGTATCTGCTGTGCCCCAGCATGCTCAGGGTGAGGCTGTAGAACCCCCAGATATGAAGGTGGCAGAAGTTCTCTTTGATGCAGCTGATGCCAATGCAATCGAGGAGGTGAACCTGGCTTACGAGAATGTTAAGGAGGTTGACGGCCTGGATGTTTCCAAGGAGGGCATGGAGGCTTGGGAAGCAGCCATGAAGCGCTACGATGAGCGTATTGACCGTGTGGAGACCCGTATCACCGCCCGCCTCCGCGACCAATTGGGTACCGCCAAGAACGCCAACGAGATGTTCCGCATCTTTTCCCGCTTCAATGCCCTCTTCGTTCGGCCTCACATTCGCGGCGCCATCCGTGAGTACCAGACGCAGCTCATCCAACGTGTGAAGGATGACATTGAGTCGCTGCATGACAAGTTCAAGGTGCAGTACCCTCAGAGCCAGTCGTGCAAGATGAGCCATGTGCGTGACTTGCCCCCAGTATCTGGCTCCATCATATGGGCCAAGCAGATAGACCGGCAACTGACAGCCTATATGAAGCGTGTGGAGGATGTTCTGGGCAAAGGCTGGGAGAACCATGTTGAAGGGCTTAAGCTCAAACAAGATGGTGACAGCTTCCGTGCTAAGCTTAACACCCAGGAGATCTTTGATGACTGGGCCCGGAAAGTTCAGCAGCGCAACCTGGGCGTGTCGGGTCGAATCTTCACCATTGAGAGCAGCCGTGCCAGGGGTCGCACTGGCAACATACTGAAGCTCAAGGTCAATTTCTTGCCTGAAATCATCACACTTTCTAAGGAGGTGCGCAACCTGAAGTGGCTTAGCTTCCGTGTGCCCCTGGCCATCGTCAACAAGGCACACCAGGCCAATCAGCTCTACCCATTTGCCATCTCTCTCATCGAGAGTGTGCGCACCTATGAGCGCACCTGCGAGAAGGTGGAGGAGCGCACCTCCATCTCCCTGCTTGTGGCTGGATTGAAGAAGGAGGTGCAGGCCTTGATCACAGAGGGTATTGCCCTCGTGTGGGAATCCTACAAGCTTGATCCTTATGTCCAGCGCCTGGCTGAAACTGTGTTCAACTTTCAAGAGAAGGTTTGTTTTTTTTCTGTCCTTGGAGATGCTTTCAAAGGATACAGTCTTTCAAGGCTATGCGGTGTGAATATTTTTTTTTTTTGAATCTGAAAGCTAAGAGAAAAGTTTGAGCATAAAATGCCATAAGCCACAGTCCTATTTTTGTGTCTAGGTCGATGATCTCCTCCTGATTGAAGAGAAAATTGACCTGGAGGTACGCTCACTGGAGACCTGCATGTATGAGCACAAGACCTTTACTGAGATCCTGAATCGTGTCCAAAAGGCTGTTGATGACCTCAATCTACACTCCTACTCCAACCTGCCAATTTGGGTCAACAAACTGGACATTGAGGTTTGTGTATTGTAGATGTAAAACCATTGCCCCTTTTTATATTCATTGTTTACATGCCTTTTTTTGGGGTGAAACAAGACTAAGCTGACCTAACTCCCTCCTGACTGTTCCTGGAGTATGTTAGTTCAGCTACGTACTATCTGGTATATCTTTAGATCGAGAGGATCCTGGGAGTACGTCTCCAGGCTGGTCTAAGGGCTTGGACACAAGTGCTGAGGGGACAGATGGATGACAAGGCTGATGTGGACATGGACACGGAAGCTCCACAAGTCAGCCACAAGCCTGGAGGGGAACCAAAAATCAAGGTTGGCTAACAGACTGATTTGAGCTTTCTGTATGGCTTAGTGCGGAAGTTATTGTCATTTATTGTGTAAGTGTTCCAGTGTTTTTTGGAATATTCCAGATAGGTGTCTATTTTGGATACTTAATCATTTGTTTTAAAAATTTAACTTTTCAAATCTGTGAACCTGTGTCATACTGTGAAGTCAACATAATAGAGATGTTACCAACAATCATGCTGATTACCCTTCTTTCCCCAACTTGTGTTGGTTGTTCTCCTTCCAGAATGTTGTACACGAGCTAAGAATTACCAACCAAGTCATCTACCTAAACCCCCCCATCGAAGACTGCCGGTACAAGCTCTACCAAGAGATGTTCTCTTGGAAGATGGTCATCCTCTCTCTCCCACGAATCCAGAGTCAGCGTTACCAGGTCAGACGCAGCTTCCAGTGTCTGATGTAAAGAGATCCAAGTTGATGATGGTTATGCTGCAAGTGCAGATGTAAATGTTTCTACTCATGTGCTCTGAGCAGGTGGGTGTGCACTATGAGCTGTCTGAGGAAGAGAAATTTTACCGGAATGCCTTGACCAGGATGCCTGATGGCCCCTCGGCACTGGAGGAAGCCTACAATGCAGTGAAAGAAATTGTCAGTGAGGTGGAGCAGTATGTCAAGGTGAGATCTGTCTGGCAGATTTGACAATGGTCATTATCAGTCTGCGTAGAGACGAGTTGCTCATCTCCTGCTGCATTTTTGTCTTCAGGTGTGGTTACAGTACCAGTGCTTGTGGGACATGCAGGCAGAAAACATCTACAATCGCTTAGGTGAGGATCTCAACAAGTGGCAAGCCCTCCTAGTGCAGATTCGCAAGGCCAGAGGCACTTTTGACAACGCTGAGACCAGGAAGGAGTTTGGCCCTGTAGTCATAGACTATGGCAAGGTAGGCTTTTTATTTAAATAGGAATATTTCCCATCCTCCTACGCAATCTTAAGGTATACACTTCTTTTTTGTGAGTAAAAATGTTTTGGTAAGCAGAACTGTTTAGTTCAATGCCTTTCTCTGTTCAAAATCCAGGTTCAGTCAAAGGTGAACCTGAAATACGATTCTTGGCACAAAGAGGTCCTGAGCAAATTTGGCCAAATGCTTGGCAACAATATGCAGGACTTCCATTCCCAGATCTCCAAGGTAAGCCCATCTGCATGTGACTCTACTGTTGCACCTGCACTGATGACAGTCTGACTCATTGTGTGTGTGTCCTCCTCCAGTCACGCCAAGAACTGGAACAACACTCTGTGGATACAGCCAGCACTTCAGATGCAGTGACCTTTATCACTTATGTGCAAACTCTTAAGCGCAAGATCAAGCAGTTTGAGAAGCAGGTTGATGTAAGTATGATTGGCATGAATTGAGATCTGTTTTGTTTTGCTAAGGTAGCTAAATTTGATGCGTGTGTATCGTGATCCCAGGGAATTTAAACAGGCTCCCCTCTCTGTCCTTTAGCTATTCCGCAATGGCCAGCGCCTACTGGAGAAGCAGCGCTTCCAGTTCCCGCCCTCATGGTTGTACATCGATAACATTGAGGGTGAGTGGGGTGCCTTCAGTGACATTATGAAGCGCAAGGATACTGCCATCCAGCAGCAGGTAGCCAACCTGCAGATGAAGATTGTCCAGGAGGACCGTGCTGTGGAGAACCGCACCACCGATCTGCTCACAGACTGGGAGAAGACCAAGCCAGTTGCGGTGAGTGGACTCTTATCTTGACCTTAATGTCTTCCAAATAGCCAGGCTGTGTTGTACTTATGACTGATTTTGCTGTACAGGGCAACCTGCGACCAGAAGAGGCCCTGCAGTCTCTCACCATCTATGAGGGCAAGTTTGGGCGCCTGAAGGATGACCGGGAAAAGTGTGCCAAGGCAAAAGAGGCCCTGGAGTTGACTGACACTGGCTTGCTCAGTGGCAGTGAAGAAAGAGTCCAGGTACACTTAGTTTGTAAAGACCCTGCTGTTGTTATGGAAGATGTGCTGGATCTGAGCATCAAGCCATATATTTCTTTGGTTATCCTCACTTGTAGGTGGCTCTGGAAGAGCTTCAGGACCTGAAAGGCGTGTGGTCTGAGCTGTCAAAGGTGTGGGAGCAGATCGATCAGATGAAGGAGCAGCCCTGGGTGTCTGTGCAGCCACGCAAGGTTAGTTATTCTTGTGTTTGACTGTGTCCTTAGTTCCTGCTTCGTACAGTGGCCTTGAATGCTCACTGCTTTGTCTATAGCTGCGTCAAAGCTTGGATGGGCTCCTGAACCAGCTGAAGAATTTCCCAGCTCGTTTGCGGCAGTATGCATCTTACGAATACGTACAGAGGCTGCTGAAGGGCTACATGAAGGTGAGACTGTCAGATCAATGTCAAACAATTTCAGAGTGTAAAAAACAATTAATATTGATGCATTCATGTTTACTTAATTTATTTACAAAAATGTCACATTAGAAACCAAGTATTTTTAAGCAACATTTGTTGTGTGTGTGTGTGTGTGTGTGTGTTAATAAAATCTAAAATCCAAATTCCTTGATTTTCAGTATGTTAACATTTAGCAGAATATGGCACTCTTGTGTCTATAGTCTAATTCTGATGAGCCCAATTTCTTGCGTATCTCTACACAGATCAATATGCTAGTGATTGAGCTGAAGTCTGAAGCACTGAAGGATCGGCACTGGAAGCAGCTGATGAAGAGGCTGCATGTGAACTGGGTTCTGTCTGAGCTGACACTGGGTCAGATTTGGGACGTGGACCTGCAGAAGAATGAGATGGTGGTGAAGGATGTGCTGCTGGTAGCCCAGGGAGAAATGGCCCTGGAGGAGTTCCTTAAGCAGGTCAGCACAAATTCAGCATGATGGGCGTTTTGGTCCTTTGGTTGACAGTGGTGTGCAACAATGTGCATAGATGAGATATAGCCCTGCGATTTGTGTGTGATTGTGTCCAGATCCGAGAAGTTTGGAACTCCTATGAGCTGGATCTGGTGAACTATCAGAACAAATGCCGTCTGATTCGAGGGTGGGATGACCTCTTCAACAAGGTCAAAGAGCACATTAACAGTGTATCTGCAATGAAGCTGTCCCCTTACTACAAAGTAAGTACTGTTAATGACCTACCTTATACCATAGAATGTTTTGTTACTGAGCTGAATAAATTTTTAGTTGTCTGGGTGCCTGTTCTCAGTTTTTTTTGGGGGGGGGGTTCTTCCTGTGGTTGTAGGTCTTTGAGGAGGATGCATTGAGCTGGGAGGACAAACTGAATCGGATCATGGCTCTGTTTGACGTGTGGATTGATGTCCAGAGGCGCTGGGTCTACTTGGAGGGAATCTTCACTGGCAGTGCCGATATCAAGCACTTGCTACCTGTTGAGACCCAGAGATTCCAAAGGTAAAACACTGCCCCTTTTTTTTTCTTCCTCCATTAATTTCTTAAAATGTTTTCTGTCACCAACACAAGGTAAGGAGTTGGTCTTTGGAAAGACTTTTGTGACAATAATGCAAGCTTTACCTTTTTAACCTCCTTTCAGCATAAGCACAGAATTCCTGGCTCTGATGAAGAAAGTCACCAAATCACCCCTGGTGATGGATGTCCTCAACATCCAGGGAGTCCAGAGATCCCTGGAGAGACTAGCTGATCTGCTTGGCAAGATTCAGAAGGCCCTTGGAGAGTACCTAGAGCGGGAGCGCTCATCTTTCCCCAGGTGAACGCCTGCTACCTTACGTCTTGGTGACTTAGTACAGTATTGGATGATTTGTGTAGACTGATTTGTGACCAAGGCTTCTTTACCTTTCTAGGTTCTATTTTGTTGGTGATGAAGATCTGTTGGAGATCATTGGCAATAGCAAGAATGTAGCCAAACTGCAGAAGCACTTCAAGAAGATGTTTGCTGGGGTGTCCAGTATCCTCCTGAATGAAGACAACACTGAAGTTCTGGGTATCTCTTCCCGTGAAGGAGAGGAAGTACGTCTTCTGCGGACTGGGGGAAAACTATAATACAGCATAAGGTGCTGATGCTGGAGCTAAAATGTTGTCTTCTGCTTTTCAGATCCTCTACAAGACGCCAGTGTCCATCACGGAGCACCCCAAAATCAATGAATGGCTGACCCTGGTGGAGAAGGAAATGCGGGTCACCTTGGCCAAGCTTCTGGCTGAATCGGTCACAGAGGTGGGTGCCTTCAACAAGGGCACGGCCATCGATCTCGGCACCTACATCGACTGGATCGACAGATACCAGGTATTCCATTTATTCCAGTCTCATCTAATCTAATCTCATATTTGAGTAATGACAAATCACAGCATAACCCCAATTGTTTGTTTTTTGTCCTGTGCAGGCCCAGCTGGTTGTCTTGTCTGCTCAGATTGACTGGTCTGAGAACGTGGAGAGTGCCCTGACTACCATCTCAGGCAGCGGGGACATGTCACCCCTCCAGGGTGTCCTGTCCAACGTGGAGGCCACCTTGAACGTTCTGGCTGACACTGTGCTAATGGAACAGCCCCCCCTGCGGAGGAAAAAGCTAGAACACTTGGTGAGTGGAATCTGACGCTGCCACGTTAACGGCTTCATTCCTAATGCAGCGTGGAGGTAATTGAAGTGTTAGAGGATCACATGGAAAGGACTGGTACAGTGTGCTCTGGTATTACATCCTGTCTTTTCTTTTCAGATTACAGAGCTGGTCCACCAGAGGGATGTGACCAGGACCCTGATCAAGAACAAGATTGACAACCCTAAGTCCTTTGACTGGCTGAGCCAGATGCGCTTCTACTTTGACCCGAAGCAGACAGATGTGCTGCAGCAGCTCTCCATCCAAATGGCCAATGCCAAGTTTAACTACGGCTTTGAGTATCTCGGTGTTCAAGACAAACTTGTGCAGACTCCTCTTACTGACCGCTGCTACCTGACCATGACCCAGGCCCTGGAGGCCCGGCTCGGAGGCTCCCCCTTCGGTCAGTATCTCTGTCCAGATTAACTTGTCCATTCTATGGTTTGTGTGCACCGTTTGTACAATGTTCTTCTCATTTGTAGAAGTTTGCTTATTCGGTGGGGAGAGATTGCAGAGCAATCCATAATTTTGCGGTATTTTTTTTTAGGGCCCGCTGGAACGGGAAAGACTGAGTCTGTGAAGGCTCTTGGACATCAGCTGGGCCGCTTTGTGCTGGTATTCAACTGCGACGAGACCTTTGACTTTCAGGTATGACTGGCTCATTTAACCTCTCTTCTGTAGTTATGTCCATGTAGTTGGAGCGTCTGTGTGAAGCTACCCTGGTTTCTCCCTCCAGGCAATGGGCCGCATCTTTGTGGGCTTGTGTCAAGTGGGCGCCTGGGGGTGCTTTGACGAGTTCAACCGGCTGGAGGAGAGGATGCTGTCAGCCGTCTCTCAGCAGGTCCAGTACATCCAGGTGGCCCTAAGGGAGCACAGCAACCCCAACAGAGACCGCAGTATGTAGTCGCCTCTCTTGTGTTGCTAATGTAACTCTTGGGTATTAGAGATTAAGGATGGTGAAGCTACATATTTCAGTTGAGATTTCGTTGTTTCCTGATGTCATGGATATTTTAATCCGAAAGGTAAGTGTTGCTGTTTTAACTGAAATTTCCTCTGGATAGGTGCACCCATCACCTGCGAGCTGCTGAATAAGCAGGTTAAGGTGAGCCCTGAGATGGCGATCTTCATCACCATGAACCCCGGCTATGCTGGCCGTTCCAACCTGCCCGACAACCTGAAGAAGCTGTTCCGCAGCCTGGCCATGACCAAGCCCGACCGGCAGCTCATCGCCCAGGTCATGCTGTATTCTCAGGGCTTCCGCACCGCCGAGACCCTGGCCAAAAAGATCGTCCCGTTCTTCAAGTTAGTTCACACGGCTACATCGTCAAAAACAAAAGCAGCCTTATTTCCCATTCGTTGTGAATCTGTTTATTGTCCGTATGGCATAGATCTTATTGGATATGTGAGCTCTGGCATCTAGTGCATTAGTATAACTGAACCACACTTGAACCTTAGCATAATGGACAAGGTATCTGAAATGTTTCAACCTAAATGAAGTAGGTGTTTCTCTGAGGTCCTCGCTTGCTGCGTCTCCTCAGGCTCTGTGACGAGCAGCTGTCCTCTCAGAGCCACTACGACTTCGGCCTGCGGGCTCTGAAGAGCGTGCTGGTCAGCGCCGGCAACGTTAAGCGGGAGCGCATCCAGAAGATAAAGCGGGAAAAATGTGAGCGGGGCGAGGACGTGGACGAGAACGATATCGCAGAGAACCTTCCAGAACAGGAGGTAACACCTGAACTACTGCCAGAGTAGCGTTTGTGGCAAACTGCTTACTTTTTATTCTTAATCATGGCAGAACTGAAAAACTATTGGATCTATTGAGTCATTTGAGCTTAAAATTTATGTATTGAGTGTTGGGACACAGTACTCTGCATTTTATTTTCAGTTGAGCATTGCTACTTATCGGAGATGTCAAAATATTACTGGGATATGGTATCTTACTTTGGATATAGTTTGTCTGAAAAGAAATTATAGCTATGCAATCTGAGGTTTGAAACTAATATTCCCAAGCACCAAAGGATTTCTTGCTGTCCATGTAGGTCCATACTGGTGAAGATTGTATCCTGGGTTTCCTCTTGAAACTGTGCTGAGTATGACCTCATGACTGTATATCTACCTGCCTCTCAGATCCTGATCCAGAGTGTATGCGAGACAATGGTGCCCAAACTGGTGGCCGAAGACATTCCCCTGCTGTTCAGCCTGCTGTCGGACGTCTTCCCCGGCGTGCAGTACTTGCGCGGGGAGATGACTGCCCTCCGGGAGGAGCTCAAGAAGGTCTGTGGTGAGATGTACCTGACCTACGGGGATGGCGACGACGTCGGCAGCATGTGGGTTGAGAAGGTATGTGCCTCACTAAAGGACGTCATCGTCTTTACATCTGTGGTCTTTACCCCAGACTTGCCTGCATCTACGCAGGTTTGAGTTCAAGCTGCTGCACAACTTCCCTTTTAGTCAGTTTGTCCCCCCCGAGTAATTACTGTGTTCTTTGGCTTTTACATTTGAGTGTTTCCTGTTGGAGCTGAGTAGGTGTTTCTTTAGTGAATGAAAGTGTTTAGACTCTTATTTTGATTGAGATCTTCTGTGTCACAGGTGCTACAGCTGTACCAGATCACCCAGATCAACCACGGTCTCATGATGGTCGGCCCCTCAGGCAGTGGCAAAACCATGGCATGGAGGGTGCTGCTCAAGGCCCTGGAGAGACTAGAGGGGGTCGAGGGTGTGGCCCACATTATTGACCCGAAGGCCATCAGTAAGGACCATCTGTATGGGACCCTGGACCCCAACACTCGCGAATGGACCGACGGGCTCTTCACACACGTACTCAGAAAGTAAGCCATGCCTGTGACTCTTACAGGGTCATTTTAATTATGCTGGGAACAATAGTTTCTGTCCGCAATCCCGATTTATTAAAGTAAAGCTTGAATGGTAGATTGGAGACTCAAGCTTTCGTCTAACCATTGTTCCATACTCACAGGATCATTGATAACGTCAGAGGAGAGCTCCAAAAGCGACAGTGGATCATTTTCGATGGTGATGTGGACCCTGAGTGGGTTGAAAACCTCAACTCTGTGTTGGATGACAACAAACTGTTGACGCTGCCCAACGGAGAGCGTCTCAGCCTTCCACCAAATGTAGGTCCTGATCCCTACCGCCACTGCCTGAGTATAGAGCTGCTGTCTCCTATGTAACATCAAGAATAAGAGCAATTTACAGTATTCAAAATGCAAAACCAAATGGAAAACTGCATGTTGAGACAAATTGGGTCAAACCGTTACCGATTGTTTTAATTAAGCAGACTGTGTCTCCCCCAGGTCCGCATCATGTTTGAGGTGCAGGACCTGAAGTACGCCACGCTGGCCACAGTGTCCCGCTGCGGCATGGTCTGGTTCAGCGAGGACGTCCTCAGCACGGACATGATCTTCAACAACTTCTTATCGCGGCTGCGCAGCATCCCGCTGGATGAGGGCGAGGATGAGGCACAGCGCATGCGCAAAGGCACAGAGGACGAGGGCGACGAGGCAGCCTCCCCCATGCTACAGGTATCTTCATGATCCATTCTCCTGGTTGTATTTTCCTATGTGGTCCAGCCCCCTTAGACCAGTGGCAGTATTGAGCTGATTATACATTAAAGCTGCTCTGATATTGTGACCCCCCCCCCCCTCCCAGATACAAAGAGATGCAGCTGCCATCCTGCAGCCATATTTCACCTCCACTGGCCTGGTGATCAAGGCCCTGGAACATGCCTCCAAGATGGAGCACATCATGGACTTCACCCGGCTCCGCTGCATGGGCTCACTCTTCTCCATGCTGCACCAGGCGTCCAGAAACGTGGCCCTTTACAACAACAACCACCCAGACTTCCCCATGCCCATCGACCAGCTGGAGCGCTACATGCAGGTCAGCACCCCCACCCCAGCCGCAGTGTAGAGCTATGGTCCTCCACGCCATCACCAGTCTTCATTGTTGAACAGCACACTTGTTGCAGTATTAGCGTTAGGATATGATGCATGACTTTTCAACATTTCACTGCATGTTGTACCTGTATAAATAAAGAAGTTGTTACTTGTATACATTGTCCATCTTTCTTAGTTGAGTCCTTCCATAACATTCCAATACGCCGTCTAACAATGTATCTCAATGTGGAATTCTTGTCCTTTTATAGAGGTATCTGATCTACGCAATCCTTTGGTCCTTCTCCGGTGACGGCCGTCTGAAAATGAGAGCAGAGCTGGGGGAGTATATCCGCCGCATCACCACCATCCCCCTGCCATCTGCACCCAACGTGCCCATCATTGACTATGAGGTAGGCAGATGCTGAAATGTCATCCATTCTTTTTGGCTGGTTTGGTCCCTACATTGCTAGACATAGTTAGGTTAATTTATTCAGTGGTATCATGCAAGGACAAGTGAATCTCCCCGCTAAGCCGTTTTAAAAGAGAACTTCCCTGCCACTAGTTGCAGTTGTATCTGTCTGAAGGTACTCCATGTTTGCATGCTCAGGAAAAGCACCATGTGCTGAAACACCTCCCCACCTGTCACTTATTTTCCAAAGGTATCCATCACTGGAGAATGGCAGTCTTGGCAGGGCAAGGTGCCCCAGATTGAGGTGGAGACCCACAAGGTGGCCTCACCCGATGTGGTGGTGCCCACGCTGGACACTGTGCGCCATGAGGCCCTACTCTACACATGGTTGGCTGAACACAAGCCCCTGGTCCTGTGTGGCCCTCCTGGGTCTGGTAAAACAATGACACTGTTCAGTGCCCTCCGGGCCCTGCCTGACATGGAGGTGAGTGTGTAATGACTCACTCATGAATCATAAAACATAAAGATATAATTGGAAAAAGTGGAACATGGTGATCATGGTCATACATCTGTCCTCTCCCAGGTTGTAGGTCTGAACTTCTCCAGTGCCACCACCCCAGAACTCCTCCTGAAGACCTTTGACCACTACTGCGAGTACCGCCGAACTCCCAACGGCGTGGTTCTGGCACCAGTGCAGCTTGGCAAGTGGCTGGTGCTGTTCTGTGATGAAATCAACCTGCCAGACATGGACAAGTATGGCACCCAGAGGGTCATTTCCTTCCTCAGACAGGTGTGTGAAATGACTGGCAGGCAGCCAGTGTAGTAGTGTAGAAACCATGATTAGCTATTTGGATGTGAACGGTCTTTAATTTGATGCTTTGTGCTCAGCTACTCTGATTTCTCCTCTCAGATGGTGGAGCATGGAGGATTCTACCGTACCTCAGACCAGACCTGGGTCAAACTGGAGAGGATTCAGTTTGTTGGGGCATGTAACCCCCCCACCGACCCTGGAAGGAAACCTCTTACCCACAGGTACACAGCAGATCTGAAGCCTCAACCCCCTCCACCCCAAACTCTGAGGGGGGGGGAAGTTTCTCTGAAATGGTCACTTTTGTCCTCAGATTCCTGCGCCATGTCCCAGTGGTGTACGTGGACTACCCAGGTCCAGCCTCCCTCACACAGATCTATGGAACCTTCAACCGGGCCATGCTGAGGCTCATCCCCTCTCTGCGTACCTACGCCGACCCGCTGACCGCTGCCATGGTGGAGTTCTACACCATGTCTCAGGTTTGGGAGAAGTTATTCCCACAAGCCATCGGTGATGTTAGAATAAATGTGTAACTATGGAATATAGTGGAGTGCCTGTGGGCAGAGTGGTGGCTCTGAGGCTGGGGATCTGTGTCACTAACTGGAAGGTTGCTGGTTCAAATCCCATGAACGCCTGGAGTGATTCTTCTCCGTTGGTCCCTTGAGTAAGGCCCTTAACCTACAATTGCTTCATCCTGGATATGATGTTAATCTACATCCAGCCCTGAAAGGAGGTCCTCCAACTTACAGTGAAGAACTTGGGGGTTGGTGGCAGGATTGGCACTCTCGCCACTGGGAAAAAAACTCACACTGGTCCACTCAGACTCGTGTGGTGCTGAGGCATTACCCACTGCATGGCTGCATTCAGGTTCTCATCCCTGAGGTGGTTGGTCATGTGGTGGGTGTGGCAACACACTGTAATCAGTGCATGCTCCTTATCTCCTATCGAATATAAGAAAGCCATTCTCTGTAAAAATTTTCATCTATAAAGAAGTTAAATCCTCAGTTAATATACGTTAATTGGATAATTGCAAGCTAAATTCAGGAAAGTTATTTGTTCATTTATTTATTTAGGACTTTGCCTAGACTGACAAACTGTCTTTGTTGACAGGAGCGTTTCACCCAAGATACCCAACCTCACTACATTTACTCGCCCAGAGAGATGACCCGCTGGGTGAGGGGTATCTTTGAGGCCTTGCGACCATTGGAGACTCTCCCTGTGGAAGGTCTCATCCGCATTTGGGCCCATGAAGCCCTCCGTCTTTTCCAGGATAGGTAAGAAGTTGAGTACAATGAGTGTGAGGTTTTTTTTCCTAATGCTTGTAAATGAGCATTACGGCTAAAGATGGCATAAGGCCTTCTTTGTGCGTTAAGCAAATGTGCAAGTTGAAGTTGACGGGGAACTACGCGATGACATGGATTCCCTGTTCTGTGAATTAACCTCGACATACTTACAGGTTGGTAGAGGATGAGGAGAGACGCTGGACAGATGAGAATATTGACATCGTGGCCCTCAAGCATTTCCCTAACATTGATCGTGAAAAGGCTCTGAACAGACCGATCCTATACAGCAACTGGTTGTCCAAGGTGAGTTAATTTTGGTAGCTAGCATTGATAAACCACACTTTTTGAATGAACATCTAATGTCGTTGGGTTGGTTATCTGGTAATGTACCGTTTTCCAGGATTACATCCCTGTGGATCAAGAGGAATTGAGAGATTACGTCAAAGCACGTCTTAAGGTCTTCTATGAGGAGGAACTTGATGTTCCTCTTGTGCTGTTCAATGAGGTCCTAGATCACGTCCTCAGAATTGACAGGCAAGTGCCTTTACAATAAGGATGGAAACAATTAGATGGAATCTGTCCCTTCCCTTTCCTTCTCTATCCTGTCTGAATGGCCCGCACACTCTCTCCTCAGAATCTTCCGGCAGCCACAGGGTCATCTTCTCCTCATTGGGGTTAGTGGTGCTGGAAAGACCACCCTGTCCCGGTTTGTGGCTTGGATGAATGGACTCAGTGTCTACCAGATCAAGGTTTGCTTTCAAGACTGTGCACTTATCTAAACTTGGTGAATAAAGCCATACAGAACTTGACCGTGCTTGACCGTCTGCTGAAGTGCTTCTCATTGCTTCGCTTAGGTGCACAGGAAATACACAGGCGAGGACTTTGACGAAGACTTGAGGACAGTCCTGCGCCGCTCTGGCTGCAAGAATGAAAAGATTGCTTTCATCATGGATGAGTCTAATGTGCTGGACTCTGGCTTCCTGGAGCGCATGAACACATTGCTGGCCAATGGAGAGGTGAGAGCGCCATGTACTTTATTATGGAACGGTTAGTCCAGTGAAGGTACTATTATAATTACATACGAGCAGCTGTTTCACATTATTTTTTTCAATGCTGTGTGACTGATATGCCGTGTGCCTGTCGTACCCAGGTTCCAGGTTTGTTTGAAGGTGATGAGTATGCCACGCTGATGACCCAGTGCAAGGAGGGGGCCCAGAAGGAGGGCTTAATGCTGGACACTCATGAGGAGCTCTACAAGTGGTTCACAAGCCAGGTGATCAGGAACCTGCATGTGGTCTTCACCATGAATCCTTCCTCTGAGGGCCTGAAAGACCGCGCCGCCACATCCCCCGCCCTGTTCAACAGGTAGGATTAAGGTCTGACGCTGTGCAGAATCACGGCATTCCTGCGTAATGTTTACCATTGGAGTTGCCTTTCTGTCAGACCTTGATGGCCTTTTATGACTGTCCACCCTATTTGTGTCAAGCAATAAATACAGAAAGTGATCCTTCAACCTGCACCTGTCTATAGGTGTGTGCTGAACTGGTTTGGTGACTGGTCTACTGAGGCTCTGTACCAGGTGGGCAAAGAATTTACCAGCAAGATGGACCTGGAGAAACCCAACTACAAAGTGCCCGACTATATGCCAACTGTGTATGATAAGCTGCCACAGCCTCCCACCCATCGCGAGGCCATCGTCAACGGCTGTGTGTTCGTCCATCAAACACTGCACCAGGTCAGAAACATGCCTGTGCTTCTCAGGTGTCCTACCTTATTCCATGAACGACTGGCACTTGTCTTTTGCCATCGGTTTCTGGGGAAACAAGTCAATGTGTGTAAATCTATTCCCTTGGCACAAGAAGTTGCTTGATGTCTCGCTTCTTGCAGGCAAACAATCGTTTGGCCAAACGTGGCGGGCGCACTATGGCCATTACGCCACGCCATTACCTTGACTTCATCAACCACTACGCAGACCTGTTCAACGAGAAGCGCAGTGAGCTGGAGGAGCAGCAGATGCATCTCAACGTGGGCTTGCGTAAGATCAAGGAGACCGTGGACCAGGTAATGCAGAGCCCTTTTCTTGTCTTCAGAGGAAAGTCGGATGCACCAGCTTATCAGCATCTCTTGACTGTTGGCCGCAGACACCTGTTGACATCTCCTCTGTCTTAGGTGGAGGAACTTCGTCGTGACTTGAGGATCAAGAGCCAAGAGCTAGAAGTGAAGAATGCTGCAGCCAATGACAAGCTAAAGAAGATGGTGAAAGACCAGCAGGAGGCTGAGAAAAAGAAGGTAATGTGTGATTGTTAGTTTTTTCTGCCGCATGCTATAACCAATCCATTCTTTTTGAATGGTTCCAGGTTGAGATACTTGGGTTGATTGGTGTCTCTGTGCTTTTTTTTCCCATTCAGGTCATGAGTCAGGAGATACAGGAAGCAGTCTACAAGCAGCAGGAAGTGATCAAAGACAAGCAGCTGAGAGTGAAGCAAGATCTGGACCAGGTGGAGCCTGCTGTCATTGAGGCTCAGAACGGTAAAGCTGGTCTTAGTGAAATGAAAGATTTAATAGCCTTCCCCCATGTGTCTGGAAATTATCATGCTGTTCTTGGTACTCTGTGGCAGACATTCTGAAGCACTCAGGTTTATAATTAAGTGCACATTAGTGTACTTACTGGGGATGAACACTGCTTGTCAGAGCATTTTGTTGAATTTCTCTTTGTACATGTTAGGTTCAATGTGCTGTGGATGTACCGCTGAAGTCCTGTCTTAGCTGGTATAGTCCACTGTGTCTTGCTTGTTGTACAGTAAATTGTACAGTAAATACCTTTCCCTACGCCTGCATTTTTCATCTTTCTCTGGATTGTTCACCCTTGGTTGTCTTTCTCTTCTCTCTTGCTAACTTCTCTGCTGTTTTTCTTGCCTTTTTTTTTTTTTCTTGTCACATCTCTCTCTGCTGGCGCCCCCTGCTGGCTGGGCTTAGCCGTTAAGTCCATTAAGAAGCAGCACTTGGTGGAGGTGCGGTCCATGGCCAACCCTCCGGCTGCAGTGAAGCTGGCCCTGGAGTCCATCTGCCTTCTCCTAGGGGAAAGCACCACAGACTGGAAGCAGATCCGCTCCATCATTATGCGCGAGAACTTCATCCCCACCATTGTTAATTTTTCTGCTGATGAGATAAGGTGACCAGAGCAAGTGGAGGGTATGCGGTGGCCACAGATATGCAGAGGAGTGACACCGATGCTGGTGGGCAGAGGGGTGCCCTCTAAAGGGACAAAGCGGAACTAGCAGGAGAGTGAGCTGTCATTCTCCCTGCTGTTCTCATTGGGCTTAGACTATAAAATACATATTTGACAAATTAAGGAATAAGAAGCCCACTGCCTAACACAGGGTTCCCCAATTCTGGTTCTCGAGAGCCAGAATCCAACACCTTGCACATTTCCCTCTTCAGACACACCTATATAACCTGCTAATTAGCTGATTGATGTGTTTGAGCAGGGAAATCTGCAAACTGTGCTGGATCCTGGCCCTCCAGGAATTGAGGAACCCTGGCCTAACGCTTGAGGTGTCCCTCCCTGCTCTGCAATGGCGCCCGCACCACCCCAAGAATCCTGCATGTTCCTAAAGCACCCTCCCATCTTTCCCTCCCTCCCTCCCTCCCTCCAAACCATCACCAGCTGTCAGCTCAATTAAGAAGCAGCACCTTGTTGAAGTGCGTGCCATGGCCAACCCGCCCGCCGCAGTAAAGCTGGCGCTAGAGTCAATCTGCCTCCTGCTGGGGGAGGAGACTAATGACTGGAAAAAGATCAGACAAGTTATTATCAGGGACAATTTCATCTCCAGCATAGTCAACTTTGTCTCTGAGGACATGAGGTATTGTTTTGTGTCATCCGTCCTGTGTGTCTCTCTCCTGTTCGTCAGACAGCACGGGAACCTTCCTTGCCTCACCCTGCTGTTGGTCTCCTGTTGTGGGCTTTAAACCATGATTATTACAAATCTAACCCCTACATGTATGAGAGGGGCTCTGTCTGTTTATAGAACGATTTTTAAATTGAGCACTACTGGTGATTTGGAAGTTAAGGCATTTTGCTTATAATTAGTATTGTAATTACAGTTAAACAATGGAGGTATGTATAAGGACTGTAGCCTAGTATAATCCTTTTAGAACTTTAACATCTAATTATTGAAATGATTCGTGTACTTCGTCTTCCATCCTCAATCCTACCCCACCCTCCCCTGCTCTTAAGTTCTAACACCCATGCTGTCAGTGATGTCATACTTGTTCTGGTGCTCATTGCTCATTTTCATAACAGTGACTCAATCCGTGAGAAGATGAAGAAGAACTACATGTCCAACCCTAGCTACAACTATGAGCAGGTCAACAGGGCCTCCCTAGCCTGTGGGCCTATGGTGAAATGGGCCATTGCTCAGGTACGGGACACATCACCTTATTTCTTCTGGTCACACCTGTTGCAAGAAATGCTTAAAGTATTGTTCATTGTTTTATCCAGCGGGTGGCTATGTTAGCATGTTTGATGCTAATTTGGCCTTGTTCTTGCATGGGTGTCTGAAAATGCATAATAAAGCTAGTTATTAGCTATTGTTCTATAAAAGTGTGTGTTTCTGTATTGTTTGAAGCCATCTGTGTGCAATGCCCCACAGCTTAACTACGCCGACATGCTGAAACGTGTGGAGCCCCTGCGCAACGAGCTGCAGAAGCTGGAGGACGATGCCAAGGATAACAAGTCCAAGGCTGAGGAAGTCGAGCAGATGATCCGGGACCTGGAGTCCAGCATCGCCCGCTACAAGGAGGAATACGCCGTGCTCATCTCCGAGGCCCAGGCTATCAAGGCCGACCTGGCAGCCGTGGAGGCCAAGGTGGGGTCCCTGAGCACTTTAATGGCCCCCCTGGACTCGGAGGGGTCTTCCTGCGTCTGTGGTGCTAGCTGTAGTGCTCTGCGTCCCTCCCCAGTTGGAAATTGTCCAGCTGTAAATTTGCTTCTGATTTTGCACAGGTGAACCGCAGCACTGCCCTGCTCAAGAGCTTGTCTGCCGAGAGGGAGCGCTGGGAGAAGACCAGCGAGACCTTCAAGAACCAGATGTCCACCATTGCCGGCGACTGTCTGCTTTCGGCGGCCTTCATCGCTTATGCCGGTTACTTCGACCAGCAGATGCGGCAGAACCTCTTCACCACCTGGTCACATCACCTGCAGCAGGCCAACATCCAGGTACCTTGGGATTGGAATTACAGTGGTACCTCAGTTCTCGAACTCATTAGAACTCGAATTTTCTTAAAAGTCGAACCAAACAGTTCGAAAAAAAATTACCTAGAGCTCGATCTGAATCTCAGAAGTCAAACCGTGAACGCCGACCTAAGATAACTTGTACGCGCAGGGAAATGAGTCACGCGGCACGTCTCTCAGTGGAAACCAGAGGTAATGCTTTAGTCGTGTCAAGCAGGGACGGAATGGAGACAAAGGCGCAAACGTCAGGGTATCGGGGAATACGGGGTTTAATTCCAGGTAAGGCAGGCAAAACGCAGACTGACAATAAAATGACCGGACTGGGGAAACAAACTGAAACGCCGGCGAAATACAGAGGACTAATGAAAGCAACCAGAAACAGCTGTTCACACGGGGATTCCACATGGGGTTAACGAGGGGGCGTGGCACACGGAAGGATCGGTCAATTGGGGCAGAACACATTTTTATTTTTTTTTTACTTTACACATTGTTTTGGATACATTTATTTTCTTTCTTTACAAATTACTGTTTTGATAAATGTGCTTAGATGTGTTTAGTATAATATATGCTTCTTGTTTTATCCGGTTCATTTTGTGTTTAAATGTAAAAAAAAATTGGCCGGGAACCAATTAACTGGTTTTCCATTATTTCTTATGCCGAAAATTCGATCACAACTCGAACTTTTTAGGAGTCGATCCGGAGTTCTGAACGGATTAAGTTCGAGTTCTGCGGTACCACTGTATACTGTCTGTGTTCCTTCCTTCTGAATTTGACACACTTGTTCCCCTGCTAACCATGTGACCTGTGCCTTTGTCCTGTCCCCCCCCCAGTTCCGTACAGACATAGCCAGGACTGAATACCTGTCCAATGCAGACGAACGACTGCGCTGGCAAGCTAACTCTCTGCCTGCTGATGACCTTTGCACTGAGAATGCCATTATGCTGAAACGGTTCAACAGGTTAGCATGATGCCATACTTCTATGATCTGCATCCCTGTCCATAGATTTTACTGTTTTTTTTTTTTTTGCATTATCTACTCCATCATTTTTAAGACTGAATACTCAAGTTACCATATTTCTTGTTGCCCAGATACCCTCTGATCATTGACCCATCGGGCCAGGCCACTGAGTTCATCATGAACGAGTATAAAGACCGTAAGATTACCAGGACCAGCTTCTTGGATGATGCCTTTAGGAAGAACCTGGAGAGTGCCCTTCGATTTGGAAATCCTCTGTTGGTGCAGGTAAGACAGCTAGTTGCCAGAATATCTTACAGCTCCTGTTAAGGGTTGTGGGTCGGATGTAGTTTTGAGTGAATGCTAATATTTGCTAGTATATCATGTCAGTGTTATGTTACACATGAAATATTAGCTGTGGCTACGAGTTGGGAGGAGCTGTACATGATGAGAAGGCTGGGATCTTATTTTAGGATGTGGAGAGCTACGACCCGATCCTGAACCCAGTGCTGAACAGAGAAGTGCGCAGGACTGGTGGCCGTGTGCTCATCACCCTGGGTGACCAGGACATTGACTTGTCACCCTCGTTTGTCATCTTCCTGTCCACCAGAGACCCAACCGTAAGCATTTTTGCAACTTCCCCCTGCATTGGCACCCACTTGGTTGGTGGTCTGAATCTTTGATTTCCTTTGACACTGAAGTATCTAAATTTGAGTAAATTAGTGCAAAAAAAAAATTGTGGATTAGTCTTTTCCAGAGGTCAATCAATTGGACTTGTTTTATAGGTGGAGTTCCCTCCAGACTTGTGTTCTCGAGTGACCTTCGTGAACTTCACGGTAACACGTAGCAGCCTGCAGAGCCAGTGTCTGAACGAGGTGCTGAAGGCGGAGCGGCCTGACGTGGACGAGAAGCGTTCAGACCTCCTCAAGCTGCAGGGTAACTGGCTGGTGTCATTATCATAGCTGTTGATTTCACTACATTTGCCCTAGTGGTCATAATAAAAATTTAGCCCTACAATAAATTGCAGCAAGGTTCCCGGTTCTGTGAAGGAAGTGGGGGGGGGTTTGGAATAAGTAATATTCCATAAATCTCCAATTCAGTTTTCTTAGTCCAGGAACTAAGAAATACTCTGTAGGAAATGTCTTGCGGTGCAGCCCCTGGACAAAGGGATCTGTATTAAAATGACCCTTGTACTTTTGCAGGTGAATTCCAACTGCGTCTGCGACAGCTGGAGAAATCACTGCTGCAGGCTCTCAACGAGGTCAAGGGTCGCATTTTGGATGACGACACCATCATCACCACCCTGGAGAATCTGAAGAAAGAAGCGGCAGAGGTGACACGAAAGGTGGAGGAGACGGACATTGTCATGCAGGAGGTGGAGTCAGTGTCCCAGCAGTACCTGTCGCTCTCGTCGGCTTGCAGCAGCATCTACTTCACCATGGAGGCCCTGAATCAGGTGATGCTGCGTCCCTGTGCCCTGGCTCCGCCCCCTCCCAATCACCCAGTGTGGGGTTGTCTCACCAGGTATGTTGTGGTCATCTACTCCACTGAAATTGTCCTTTCTGTTCCAGATTCACTTCCTGTATCAGTACTCGCTGCAATTCTTCCTGGACATCTACCACACCGTCCTGTACGAGAATGCCAACTTGAGGGCCGTGAGTGACCACACTCAGCGGCTGTCGCTCATCACCAAGGATCTCTTCCAGGTATTGCCGGGACTTTGTCGTCAATAAGCAGATGTCACTGTCCTGTGCATGTAGGGCGTCGCATCTATAAGATAAACAGGAAAAGAGCTAACGTAAGGGAAAAGCCATTAGCAGGGCTTCATCTGTTAAGGACAGTTTTTAAAACAAAAAAGGCAGTTTTCTTTGTACGGTTCCGTTAAAAATAAGTACAGCTGTGGCATGCTGAGGCAGGTTGTCACACGTGTGACTTACGAGTAGATAATCAAACCTTCTCTTCGCCATGTGCAAAAAGTACTAGGAATTTTGCTTTGGTGGTGCCACAAGTATATAGTTTACACGAGCCGTCAATACTAATTGTGGTAAGGTCCCCTAGGGGGCAAGTATGGCTGGGCGATCGATTTAAAATATCGTATCGTGATCATGAACATTCATATTGTCATCGATTTTTGAATACCGTGAGTATTGTGGTATAGCCGGAATACTTGTTTTCTTGCATGATTAACAGCTATAGTGCATTATTTTTAAGCAAATTCCATCAAGGAATGAGTCTGCCATTGACGTAATCTGTCATTATCCCTTTCACATGCTACATAACTATTAGTAAAACAATTTGGTCGGTCAGCATGATTAGGAAAAACTCAGAACCACCTGTCATACTTTGCTGTTTTTTTACATATGAATTTTAGAATACCGTAAATATTGAAGATCATGAGAATCTTTGAATTCCGTGATATCATTTTTAGGGCACATCGCCCAGCCAGGTGCAGGTGTGCTTTCATGGATCCTTGTTTAGGAGGGCAGTGGCCTGGGGAAAGATGCAGTTCAGATGGCCAGTCATCCTTGTACTCAGAGATGTAAATAATGCAACTTGTATTTCCTACAGGTTGCTTTCAACAGGGTGGCCAGAGGAATGCTTCACAGCGACCACATCACCTTTGCCATGCTCTTGGCCAAGATCAACCTGAAGGGCATGACCAGGTAAGGCAGCCAGGTGGCTCTTAGACTCGCCAGTCAGGCCAGCGACTGGGCACTGCTTTCAGTACTGACGCCGGGCTCTCCTGCAGTGAGCCATCCTACGACGCCGAGTTCCAGCACTTCCTCCGGGGGAAAGAGATCGTGCTCACCGGCACTTCCATCCCCAAAGTGAAAGGGCTGAACACAGAGCAGACAGAGGCCATGATTCGACTCGGCCGCCTGCCCGCATTCAAAGACCTGCTAGCTAAAGTACAGGCCGATGAGGTGGGGAGACCCAGTCTGTCCTGTTAGCTGCAGATGCTCATCCTGTGTCCTGCTTGGCGTTGATGTGGAAAGATAACATTAGATATTCTTGCAGCAATTCTTCATGTGGATTGAAAGCAATTCCCCAGAGCTGTCCGTGCCCTACCTCTGGACAGAGGAGAAAACATCAAGTGAGTATCAAACCAAGCATTGGATTTGAATAGTTTAAATACCTTATCTTTATGGAAATGGACTTTAAAATTGCATTGCTTGAATTGCTACAGTGAAGTCTCTCTCTTTCTTGAACAGCTCCCATTGGTCTGGCTGTGCATCAGCTGCTCCTGATCCAGACCTTCCGGCCGGATCGCCTCTTGGCCATGGCACAAATTTTCGTGTCCAAAGTCCTTGGGGAGAACTTCATGTCCATCATCGAGCAGCCTTTGGACCTGGCCAGCATTGTCGACAGCGAGGTTGAAAAATCTTCTAAACCTAATTGTGTCCATTAGATGTTTTCAGAAATGTTACTGCGTTTCAAACTGCTGGGAGCATCGAAATCCGGGGCTTTAAAAAAAAGCCAGAGATTATCTCTGGGACTGATGTGTTAAGTTGCAATTGCTGTATTATATCATACATACACTTAGTGGCCAGTTTGTTGGGTTCACTGGCTTATTGTGAGCAACCTGCTCCTCCAAACAGCAAATCATGTGGCTACGTACAGCAAGCAGACAGGGTCAGGAGTTTGTTACCGTCAGCCTATGCATTACAATGGCTAAGATGCGTCATCTAGGTAATTTGTAATGCCGCATGATTATTAGTGCCAGACAGAGTGGTTCCAGCATCTCAGACTTTCCTGTGATTTTTTTTTTTTATTTTTTTTGCACACACTATAGCATCTGGAGTTTACAGATCACATCTTTCCTGTCTTTAAAGCAAGTTCAGGAGGCAAAATTTGGCCCTGCCTGGTACTAGCTAAATGTGCCTTATAATGTAGCCACTGCGTGTACAAAGCATCTAATTTCTAATGCGATTCATACTTTGTTCAAAAGGCTTTTACTGTGTCATCCTACTGTTGCATTGAAACATCAAGTTTTAGAATTACGGTCTCCTTGTATAGAAAACCATATATTGTTATAGCTTTAATTCTTGAGTGCATTCACACCCCTTGCACCATCCCAAATGTATTGCATCTTCCTCGGCCCAGGTAAAGCCCAGTACCCCAGTGCTGATGTGTTCTGTACCCGGCTACGATGCCAGTGGACTCGTGAGGGATCTGGCGGCCGAGCAGAACAAGCAGATCACCTCTGTTTCCATCGGTAGGGCTGGCCGCAGTCTTAATGCCTCCATCTGATCCAAGCTGTCGCTGTGAAATCAATCTGAATTCGCTTTAATCTTCCATTTCCAGGGTCTGCCGAGGGATTCAACAAGGCCGATAGAGACATCAACACAGCAGTCAAGTCTGGCAGGTGGGTCATGCTGCTTTCCTTCCATGTTGCTCAGTCTTTGTTATTAAGGACCTATATCTTCTCACTGAAGTGTGTGAATCACATGGTTCAATCTTCTGTGTGGCAGATGGGTGATGCTGGAGAACGTTCACCTCGCCCCAGGCTGGCTGATGCAGCTGGAGAAGAAGCTTCACTCCATGCAGCCCCACGCCAGTTTCCGCCTCTTCCTCACCATGGAGATCAACCCAAAGGTCGGCATCACTATAACTGCTGATGATTTTTGGTGTCTGTGAGCATCCATTATTGGTGCCTGTTCTGGTGTCTTGCCGCTCAGGTCTGTCTCTACGCCGCTCTCTCTTCCAGGTGCCGGTGAACCTGTTGCGTGCCGGACGCATCTTCGTCTTCGAGCCACCGCCTGGTGTCAAAGCCAACATGCTGAGGACTTTCAGCAGCATCCCTGTAGCTCGCATGTGCAAGGTGATGGAGAATAGAGAACAAAGCTTAGAAACACCTGCTGCTGTGAATTTCTTTTTGTGTTCGCATAACTTTTGCGCTTTTGGCTTGACAAGAAAACAAAATGGAAGCGCTGTGCATGAAGTTGCTCTCATAGCCATTCTCTTCATAACCACAGTCCCCCAACGAGCGAGCTCGGCTCTACTTCCTCCTGGCCTGGTTCCACGCGGTCATCCAGGAGCGTCTGCGCTATGCCCCCCTTGGCTGGTCCAAGAAGTACGAGTTTGGGGAGTCGGACCTGCGTTCGGCGTGTGATACCGTGGATACCTGGCTGGACGACACCGCCAAGGTGCAAATGTAGACCTTTTAAAAGCTACCGCTGTAGTTTTTGTGGAATGTCATCAGAACAGATCGCCCCTGGCAATTTTAATTTTTCTCAAACTGTTCTGCTAGATGATAAACATCATGTCTATATTGTCTCTTTGTGATATAATCAGATTATACTGCAGTCCCATTTTAAGCAAGCTTAAAATAAGCCCATGGTATACTCAGGAATGTTTCTCCATTATGTGGTGTGTATCAAAATAACCACATAACGCCGTGATTTCTTTTTTCTCCTTCAGTGAGGGGAAAATAGTTAAAGTCCTTTGTTTTGATATACATGCACATTTCCATAACGCAGTTCTCAAACATGCGAGAAGAGGTGGTACCTGCATGTATGTCCTAGTTTACTAACAGCAACTCGACCGACTTGCACTGCAGGGCCGACAGAACATCTCCCCCGACAAGATCCCGTGGGCAGCGCTGAAGACCCTCATGGCGCAGTCCATCTACGGAGGACGCATCGACAATGAGTTTGACCAGCGTCTGCTCAACACGTTCCTGGACCGCATCTTCACCACCAGCAGCTTTGACAGCGAGTTTAAACTGGCTATCAGGGTGGACGGACACAAGGACATCAAGATGCCTGATGGCATCCGGTCAGTGAAGAGTCGGCTTTAAATCTGCCCTGACTGCTGGCTCCTTGGTGAAAATGATGGTAGTTTGGAGTCCAGCAGGATGTTCTACCTGTCTGAGTAATTGTGTGTTTGACCTGTAGACGGGAGGAGTTCATTCACTGGGTGGAGATGCTCCCAGACACCCAGACCCCATCCTGGCTTGGGCTTCCTAGCAACGCTGAGCGAGTTCTGCTCACCACTCAGGGTAAAGTCCCATTCCAGCTGTCGCCTGGGGCAGCTCTCATTCTCATTCATCTCTGTTCCCTTGACGTTTTTCCATGGTGCTCTGTACTGTTCTGTTTTTTCTTTTAATGGGTCTTGTTTTTCAGGCTTAATCCTCACGATACAACTTTTGTTTTTTTAATCTCCTCCATTCTGCTTTAACAGAGCACATCTTTCTCTATGTATGGTGCCTTCTGTCCATCTCATTAACAGGTTGAATTAACTGAAAGTTATGGCAAGTTTACTGATAGTTCAGGGGTCTCCGGTCTGTGGATGTTGGAACTGTATGCAGAGATGAGTAGGCCAGTGAAATGCAGTCAGAATAGATGACCCGGCGTAGGTGTCATTGGCCGTGCATGTGACTGCATGGCCACACCAGACACTTGCGCTAAACATGATGCTGCTTCTGACCATACATATCAATGGGTGTGTTCTGCTAATAGCAGTGGGTGGGGGAGGTCTCCTCAGCCTCCAGCAGCTGTATTTCACCACCATCATGTCACCTGATGGCCCTCCGCTTCCCGCTTTCAGTGTTTCTCCATCCCATCCTGTGTCTTGTCTTTTTTCACTTGGTTCCTACCCAACTTACCCCCCCTTGGTTCCCACCCAACTTACCCTACTTTATTGTAACACATGGTCACTAATAATTTTTGGCAGTATATTTTGGAGTACTTGGAGTATATGATAGTATATTTAATATATTTTGGAGTATAATTTTTTTTTTCAATTTTGTTAAATTAATTTGTTCTGCGTGACTGACAAATTGCCTGGGTAGTTTTTGATTACTGCATTACTTTAATCATTTTATCCTTACCGTTTTGTTTGTGACTGATCATTAGAGGTTTTTTGTTTTGCATTAATTTTGTCTTCCCCCCCCCCCCCCCCGGGACTCCCTGCCGACACCCTCCCATGTACCCATCCCAACCCATCTGCTTGCGTGCCTCAGGCACTGACATGATGGGTAAGATGCTGAAAATGCAGATGTTAGAGGATGAGGACGACCTGGCCTATGAGACAGAGAAGAAACAGCGCACCAGCTCGTCGTCCGATAACCAGCCCGCCTGGATGAGGACACTGCACACCACCGCGTGCAACTGGCTGCAGCTCATCCCGCAGTTGGTCAGCCCTCTCAAGCGCACGGTGGAAAACATCAAGGTGAGGGGGACCAGCACCACCTGGAGGTCTGGAGGCTTTGCTGTTTCCTGGCAAAAAATAGAGAAAATCCCAGAGGTCACACACATGTCCTGAGGATACCCCGGGCAAAATGCTTCAAAAATTGTGCCTGAGACAGTAAAACCAGCATGGATGTATGCAGGTGAATATAGAGGTATAATTTGTTTTTTAATTATTATTGTGTTGATGTCCTTCTGTTGTCTTGTGGCTGCACCATCTGCCGTAGGACCCTCTGTTCCGCTTCTTCGAGCGGGAGGTGAAGATGGGAGCCCGGATGCTGCAGGATGTCCGTCAGGATCTCACCGACGTGGTGCAGGTGTGCGAGGGCAAAAAGAAGCAGACCAACGTCCTGCGCTCACTCATCAATGACCTCGTCAAAGGTGACCTCTGCTGCAGTTTCACTGGAACTACAGTAAAACTGGTCTAAGTCGCCGGCTTGTAACTCGTCAATGTGCACAAGTCGACGCTCAAGCAAAAGTCCCAATTTTTCCTAATGATGTTTCCTTTAAAATTCCTTGTGTAAATCGCCGCTTTTAAGTCGTCAAATTCCCTTAGTCGTCACCTAAATTCCGGTCCCGAACAACACAAATGAATGGATTTTCCTACCTGTAAGTCGACACCCCAATGGCTGCATTCCCGCCGCCTGCTTGTTACCACGGCAATGTAGAAACGGGGAATCCCCACCTATCGCACTAGTCGCTTCCTGGTCTTAAGTCTCGCGTGTATAGTGCGGTGTAGTAGAGGTATGGTGTTATATTTACTAGTCGGCAAAACGACGAGATAGACATAAGTCGCCGAAGTGTCGACTTAGGTGCATCTCGTCAATTCTCTAAGTCGTCACTTTTAAGATGGTCCCGCGAGTGTCGACTTAGACCGCTTTTACTGTATACTGCCGTGCATCTTAGAGACCAGGACGTCCCCTTCTGCACCTGCTCTTGTCTCCAAACTACTTGGTCTTGCTCTTCTTGCAGTGTTAGCATACTTGCTAACGTTGCGCTGCTAATCCTCCCCCAGGTATCCTGCCTCACAGCTGGTCTCGCTACACGGTCCCCACCTCCATGACGGTCATCCAGTGGGTGGCCGACTTCAGCGAGCGCATTAAGCAGCTGCAACAGATCTCTCAGGCGGCAGCAACAGGTGGCGCCAAAGAGCTGAAGGTGAGCTGATGCTACCTCAGGCAAGAGATTGGGGGGGGAAGCGAGGGAGCAGGGAGGAATTCCAGTCCTGAATCGATGGATCTGGACATACACCATGGTCTGGTTACAGCTAAAGGGCAGCTGTTTTGGGGATGGTGGTCATACTACACCTGGAATCACAAGGAGAAAAGCTGCAGTTTCTGTTGAATAGTTTTAACTAACGTTGATCTTTTTCTAGAACATCCATGTGTGTCTGGGCAGCCTGTTTGTGCCTGAGGCCTATATCACTGCCACCCGGCAGTACGTGGCCCAGGCCAACAGCTGGTCCCTGGAGGAGCTCTGCCTAGAGGTCAACGTCACCACCTCCCAGGGGGCCGCGCTGGACGCTTGCAGCTTCGGCATCAAAGGTGGGACGACAGTGCCAACAAAACGTGGCTTAGCATGAGGCCTGCTGATCAGAGCGCTTTCCTCTTCCTGGCATTTTCCACCCGGGCATGTGTTAACTTCTCCTCCCACATCCCCAACAGGCCTGAAGCTGCAAGGAGCCACCTGCACCAACAACAAGCTGTCCCTGTCGACAGCCATCTCCACCGAGCTGCCACTCACCCAGCTGCGCTGGCTCAAGCAGAGCAGTGCTGAGAAGAGGAACATGGTGAGCTTCACCCGTATAACACTTTCAGCGACACATTACAATGAAACGAACATGGACTCCAAGTTACAAATGCATGGACTTGCACACAGTTTCTGGATGGGGTGGACACTTAACCTAAATTGCCCATTGAGAGACAACCAACTGTATTATTGGGCAAACAGTCCTAACTTGTTAATGCTGGCTGTTTATTCTGGATTAATGTTTTCACTTCCCTGCACAGGTGACTCTGCCCGTGTACCTCAACTTCACCCGAACGGACCTGATCTTCACAGTGGATTTCGACATCGCCACCAAGGAAGACCCACACAACTTCTATGAGCGGGGGGTGGCCGTATTGTGCACAGAGTAGAGGGAGTGCCTCACGTAAACTAATAGCTCGCTACTGCTTACTCATTGCATGAATTATAGCATAGAAATATGAAAACTAGATGCTTAACTGTATGTGTAAGAAAAAGTCATTGAAGGAAAGGAAGGTTTGAGAATGTGGTATAGCGGAATGTGCTTGTTACAGCAGAGATGGAGGATTTTAAAGAAGGAATCTGTATGTATTTTTATGGAGGAAAGGAAGCTGCTTGGTATTGTCATGCATAATAAATTGCCCTGAATTACTTCCATGATGTAGTTCTCTGCTTTGCATTGTGTTCACATGGTGACGTACATGTAGCTCTGGACAAACTGCGCATGATCTGTTCACTAGCATCCACTTTAAACGCCAACATAGATGTTTTTGATGAGCGTTGGGGTAGTTTGCGAACCCTACAGACTATTTACAAGGTAATAATACTGTTACATACATGTAAATGCGTGTGCACACTTGTCTCGAATTGAAAATCTCAGGCCAGCCAGCTGACCAAAGTTGGCGACCTTGTGACTCGCTCGCTGAATTTGTAAAACACAGATGGACACAAACCTCACTACTGTGGTACGTGTGCAGGGAATATGAGAATAATTAATTTATTATTCTAAATATGACACACTGTGCGCATGCGCAAAGTATGCGTCTTCACGGAAGAACTATGAATGTTTTTGTATCCGCATACGCAGTGTGGATATGCAAGTGTTGCACTTGGACAAGTATGAACCAGCCTTTACAGGATATTCATTTTTGTCATGGTGAGCCTGTCCTACAAGGCATTGGGTGCAAGACAGGGGTACTGGGGGTTAATCCTCAGTAGGGAAACTGGACAGTTTAGACACTAATTTACTTTTTTGGCCTGTGGGAGGGGAATGTGCATAATTATACAGAATGGGGCATGAATCCAACATGTAACTTCAAGGCTACGATAGGTTTCAAATGTTTATTGTTATGTACAAAGTACAATGAAATTCTTACTTGAATGCCTTCTTGCAGACTATAACAATCAACATGCAACAATACCATAAACAGTCAACGAAGAGTGTTATATCACAATAAACTGTACAGTATATACAAACTAAGAAACACTAACACACAGGATATAAGGTATTAGTAGATCACAGCAATAAGCCAGTATTGAAATGTCACAGTGAAATATTGCAATAAGGTGTATGTAGAGTAGAGTGAAACACAGTGAGCAGCAAAGTGACCATGCAGAGAAGCAATGTCAAATGCAGCAGATAACTTCAATACTCATACTAACATACAATGACACTATAATTATAACGGTAAAATAACTAAAAATGAAGAGAACTGGAGAAATAATTCTAGTCTAGAACGACTGCACCAATAACCAGTTATCAGTATGAAACATAAGTAGTCTTATTGTGGTAAAAAAGCTTTCCCTAAATTGAGTGACTAATTTGATGGTCAGGAGTCATTTACCAGGAAAGAGAAACGTCCTAAAGCTGGATTTCTGGGGTCCTAGATTGTGCAGCCTGCTTTTCTGATTTAGCGCATGGTATAAATATCCTGGATTGCTGGAAGCTCTGTGCCAATGATTTTTTTAGCTGTTTTCACAACCCTTTGTAGAGCTTTCATGGTCTCTCTAGAACAGCTGCCATACCAGGATGTAATACATCCAGTCAGGAGGTTATGCTATAGAAGTTACCCTAGCACTGTATTAGCTATCCAAGCTTTTCTCAGGTATCTAAGAAAGTGAAGCCATCGGTGGGCCTTCTTGATAGCTCTTGTGTGCTCTTTCCACTTGAGGTCATCAGTGAGTTACCCCCAGGAATTTGATGCTGTTGACTCTCTCCATATAACATCCTCTGATGTAAATGGGGACATGTGCTACATCTCATCTGTGAAAGTCAATGGCTCCTTGGTCTTGCTGATATTCAGAGACAGGTCGTTGTCATGGCAAAAATGTAAAAGTCTGCGAAGAGCGGCGTTCAAAATGTTGCCATGAGAGACAGGTTAGTACTGGCCAATGAACCACAATCCAAGAAGACTATATGCTTTGCACCCTTGTTGATGAATGGTGACCCAGCATATCCAGAGAATGATTTTCATTTTTATCATAGCTTTATCATAGTTAGGTGTTATCGAGACAGTTTGATGGCAACTCCATGCTGTACTGGGAACTGAGAAGGATGGCTGCGAAGACTCTGAGGGCAGATAAGGAGGCATTCGTTAGAGGAATCTGTGAGCAAGTGACACACCATCTATGGTCTAGTGACCCACATCCTGCTTACAGATGAATCGAAGCATTTCTGCACATCCGAATCTGTTCCTCAGGGTGTCGCGGTCAGGGCAGATGATGAAATGGTCCTTATGGATGACATTGCAGTTGTGGCCTGCAGGGCTGGCTACTTTGAGCAGCTCTTTAAAGCTGATCCTCCAGCTAGGACATTGGACATCTTTGGGTCCACAGTTCTTGAGGCTGATCCTCTGGTTAGCTGTGAACCACCCAATCTCACTGAGATTGCACAGGTGGTGAACCAGCTAGGGGTAGGGAAGGTCACAGGGATCACTGGTGCCTGGGGTGAACTGTTGATTTTTGCAAAACGCGTAACACAGTTGATTGAGTTGCCCTGTGGGACATCCTGAGACTTTGCAGGAATCCCCCCCAAAGTTGCTGGACGTCATGGCCAGCCTGTACACTGACACTGTGAGTGCTGTGCTGAGTGGAGGCAGAACCTCTGTGTTCTTCCCAGTTGACTGTGGGGTTCGTATGGGGTATGTTCTTGCTCCTACTTTGTTCAATGCTTGTATGGTCGTGGGGTCCAGCAGCTGTGAGGCATCTGTTGGTGAGAAAGATTCATTGATCATAACCAAGCTGTGATCTTTGCAGAGTCATTGGAGCCTCTCATTGGGGGTCTCAAGACAGTGAGTAAGGAGTCTGAGTGTCTTGGCTTATTAGTGTCCTAAATAAAAACCAAGATCCAAGCCTTTAATAACTTCTTAGGCACAACCACCAGCAGTATGTCTGTCTGCAGAGTGCATATCGACTGCGTTGAGAGGTTCACTTACCTGAGCAGTGACATTCATGTCTCTGGTGACACTTTCTATGAAATCAGTAGATGGATTGGAGAGTATGGGGGTCATGAGGTCACTGGAAAACAGTTTGTAGCACTCCTGATATCTTTGTAAGAGGACAAAGTCTTTAGAGACCTGGTGCTCCCTGTTTTGCTGTATGGCTGTGAGACATAGATGCTATCCGGTGACCTGAGATGAAGACTGGACTTCTTTGGTAGTGTCTCTCTTTGGAGAATCCTTGGGTATCGCTGGTTTGACTTTGTGTTAAATAAGCGGTTGCTCACAGAGTCCTGAATGAGGCACATTACCAGCATTGTGAGGGAATGTCAGTTACAGAACTATGGCCATATGGCATGTTTCCATGAGGGTGATACAGCTTGCAGTATCCTCATTGCTGAGGACCTGAGTGGCTGGACCAGGCCAAAGGAATGCCCACGTAACACCTGGCTGCAGCAGATTGACAGCCTTTTCCAGACTGTGTGTCGGCTTGGGGGGTTGTCAACTGGGATCCCGAGGTGTTTCGTTGTGTGGTGGGTGCGGCAGTACATTGTACCAGTGCATACTAACCAACCTGATCTGATCTTGGTGTTCAGGATGATTTTCTATGCAACTTATGTCCGTATCCTTCAATTTATGCAATGAGAGTGTAGCTGCAAACACCTGTAATCTACATGCACCTTTTCCCAATTAAGAGGACCTGCACAACGTCTGCTTCCAATGGTTGTACTTGGGTACTGAGAAGCTACTTGTCCCCATTTCCCAAGGAATGCAAAAACTTAACTATGCAGTAAATCAGCTCCGAATATTTAATCAAGAACAAGAAAGTGACCACAGCAAAACACAAAAATTAGGGGACTTTCACTCTTTCGCCATCATATTGGCAACACCCTTAACATCACAAATAGAAACCTATCTTTGCACAACCATCAGTGAATGGTTTAATTTTTAAATGGACTTATTTGCCTCACTGACAATAATCCACATAAGTCAGTGTTAACAAGATTCAAACTAACCTTGCTTTATATTCATAATTAACAATGTTAGCTATCAATGTTAAATTATTAAAATTAGCAATATGAATAATCCAAATGCCAATCATGAATATATTAACTAGTACAAACTTGAATACAAATTAAATAGATGACTTCATAAAGCATCTTTTCATTAATCAATGAGACGTCAAACGCTATCAGTAGATATATTCCATCCTTAGTGAAAAGAATCATCCAAAAGGGCACATACACAGTTTTCATTAAACGGTAATCATATAGTTCCTTCTGTACCATACAAAATGTAGTTATTTTCCAAAAGTAAATGTCTAATTCATGTGCAGTATATTAATACTGAGCTACAATAAATGGAGCAACTGTGTCTATGTCTACCTAATAATAATCCACTGACTGCACAGCTACTCTAATTTGTCTGCAGTCAGCTCCTAAGAAGTGTACTTAGTATCAGAATACACCTTAAAATAGCAACTAGACCAAATTAACTTTTGCACAGAAATGATACCAATAATGGACATTTAAAGTGCAATGTTTATTTACATACCACAGCAAATATTTACATTCACCATGACAGACAAAATTCAAAACTGTGGGTGAACAAACTTATGTACATGGAGGGGGAGAAAAGTAAGCACTGAAGGTACACTAGTGCTTCTTCAGTCCAGCAGCTAAGATTCGTCCTTCCTTAGATTGTCCTGTGCAAGTGAGCAAGTGTGACTAGTCAATAGCAGGACATTAGCATGTAAGATGCATACTGCCAGTGACCAGTGAACACTGTTGGCTTGGCTGTGCTTTTTTGTCTAAGCAGGTATTATACCCACTCGTCAAGACCGTGAGCGGTTTTTAAATGGGTCTGAAGGATTTGCCAGGGAAAAAACAAACTTCTCTATCCCTTTCTTGGGCTGGCTCACAGCGATAGTGGGCCCAGTTCCATGTCCACAACACGCTGCCTCTTCCTTAGGCCACGCTCCCCCACCTCAGCTCCGGGGAGACATGATTTACGTTTGGGAAACATCTCAAGAAAGGAAGGGCTCTCTCCACGCTGTCTGTAAAGTCCGGTCTGGCGGGATGGACTCCCAAGTAGCCCGAGAGGGGTTGCCCCCATGTAGGAAATTGCAGGTGTGCAGAGCGGCGATTCAGTGTGCACACCAGAGTCTGCAGGTGTCTCTACGCCAATCTGGGGCATTGCGGCCCGTGGGGACAGGAGGCCAGGGTCACCCATGAGTACTTCAGAGTCACTGGATGACTTCATCTGAACATCTGCAGGGGGCAGTGCCACCACGTTAGGCCTGGCCACACACTTCCTAGCTTCTTTAGGGAATGAAGCAAAACTGGTATTCCCTCTGCGACACCTGCTCCGGAGCTTGGAAACTCCCTGCCTCAGCATTCGAGGCTCATCATCTGACATCTCAGAGTCTTCTGAACTCCCGTCATATGGGTCCAGGGACTGGAATGATACAAGTATGTCACAAGGCACCCTTAGGATAGACACACACCAGGGATACAGCACTGACCATTACCCAGCAAGAATGTGAATGAGCAGATGTGGATAGTTGAGTATAAAGGAGTCACAGTCAAAGAGTACTCAACTAGTTGGTAGAAAGAAAATCTTGGTCTGGATTTTCTCTTTATCCATCTCTGATTACTGGGGTCACAAAAAAGGCAGTCTAATCTAATCAGAGGCTGATTCCCACTCACGATTAGATGGTGCCGCCCTGCTGGCTTCTGTGCACACGTCAGCATTTTCCGGGGAGGTCCACTCTTGTGTCTAGTAGAGACACGTCCCTACACATAAAATGACAGGTTGTACCCCTATAAGCCATTACAGGACTTGATTTCTGTGCCTAAGACAGTAGGGCTGATATTATTGTTATTATAATAACAATCATAGGGGGGAGGGAAATCACTAAATGTACTGTAAACAATCAGAAATGAGGACCAGTAAGTTCATTTTATACTTCTAATGCACAGACAAGCACTATGAGTTTACACACAACCTGAAGTATTTTATCTCAAAACCAAACACTCTTTTCAAATCACAAGGCAGTCAGTACATAAATACTACCAAGCATTTATTGCACACTACAGCATCAAATTGAACACACTACCAGGCAAAACTGTTCCTGGCACGTAGAGAAACATGTTTACTGTGGAAATGGTCTGTCGCATGTTGAGTTGCAAAATTGGAAACAAACTGCACAAGTCTATGGTACAAAAAAAAAAAAAAAAAAAACTTGCCCAGCAAAAACATTTCCAGTATTCGGCACGCCAAAAACTTACTATAAAGGACAAAAAAATAAATTCCAAAAGGCGCATTATAGTAAAATGCAGAACAACTGCCAAACCAAAGTCAAGGAAGAATTCTACTTCATCATGTCTCTGTTGTTTAGTTTTTCAAAAAGGGTGACTCACATATTCTGTCAAACTAAGTTAATACTATTTTAAGTTTTGTCAAATGAGTAACTGATTGGATTATGTTTCTCTACTGAAACCATACCTTGCTGCTTGTGTCAGACCACCTTGGACTCGTGTCTGACCCTGAATCGGTACTGGATTCCACTTTACACATCTCCTGGGACAAAAGAAGCAGAATTAAACAATTGACAACAAAGTGTACTTTACACATAATATAACTTGAAGCATAATTATTTTTGGAAAAAACAAATACAAAAACCTGACAGGCTTACAGCTGTGAACTAGAACATCTTTAATCTAAATTATTAGTGGGTACATAATGTGACTTTAAACGAATCATCTTGGCCCATTATTTCAGGATTTTTGTCTTAAACTTGAAGCAGGTTATTGTATTACTCAAAACCATTTTCAGTAATACTTAACTTGGCAGAGCACAAATACAGTATTATGCTATTACTTATGTATTAACTGACCACAGACTAAGTGTTAGTTACATACTGATCTCATGTTAATTCATCATTAATGAATCGTGATGCACGTTTCATCTCAAGCGGTTGCTATATTTTTTACTATCTGTTAATTCGGTAAACCTTCCTGAACTACTGAAGGACCAAGTAAGGAATAACAAGTTTATACTGATCTCATATCTGTTCATCATTAATGAATCATGATGCAGCTTTTATCCCATGCAGTTACTCTATTTGTTACTATATCTGTTAATTCTGTAAACCTTTGTGAACTACTGAAGGAACTGCTGAAGGAACAAGTAATGAATAAAACAAGAGAAATACTTATCTCGTGTTTGTTCATCATTAATGAATTGTGACGCATCTTTTATCTCAAGTAGCAACTATATTTGTTCATAATTTGTACTTCAATAGTAACTGAGTTACTACTGAAATATTTGTGACCGTCAAATAAAGTGTTACCCCATTTTCTTACCATATATTTGAAAGCTAGTCTATCCACGCTGCTGGAGCATCTCTGAGCATCTTTACAGTCACGAAATCCTGCAAACAAGATGACAAGTTCACATAGCATAACAAGTAAGATATAAACAATTCACTAGCGTCTCCAATCATCCTTAAATGACAAGGGAGAATTTAGGATAATTTTGCCAGTTATGCGCCTAAAACTTGTCGAGGTTGAATTAAAAAATTACTTTCGAAATGTTGAGATATTATTTTACCACCATCTAGTGCACGAAAAGGTACATCTTTTATGTTTTCCCGTTGATGAAACATAAATGACGACATATACATTTTGCCATTTTTTATAAAGGGTGATTGAAACGAAGTAAGAAAATCTGTCGCGCACACACACAATGTTTTCCCTACTTCTTTCGTATTCCTCCATACAAGAAAGTAAATAGCACACTCCCTCAGTGACTCCACGTTGTAAAGTGTGAAATAAGCGATTATAATCAGTATGAATTTTGAATCTGTACAAGGATACACTTGCATTGCCAAACGCACATTTCTCACACAGCCCTTTAATGCCACGATCCCCGCACCTGCGACCCCCAGACTTAACGCCCTTTTTAACCAAACACTTCGACTGCCAGCTAATCAAGCGTTAACATGACACGTCCCGCTTGAAAACATTACAATATATTTCCAAATACGATTACCTTAAAAAAGCAAACTGACTACAACTACATAAAACCTGACCTAACGGCCGTTTTTATATTGTAAAAGGAGCTTGAACAATTCCGGGTAAAGAAAAAAAACGATGACATATTTCTTATGTCATAGAACAGAAACAAAATGTAAAAAATATTTTTAAAGTACTGCTTCTGCAAGAAGAGAATGTCAAGGGTCGCTGAGCTCAGAATAAGTGCCCTAAACATTAAAATGAGAAAATACATCTAATTTCTTTTACCTTGCAGCGTCTGTTCCTGCCTCCTTTTTTTTCGTCTGGTCGACATTCTGCAGTTCGCACGTCTCTCCGTTTTGCTGCCCCCTCAGGGCTAATAAAGAACACGCGCAGAAATTTAGCCCATTAATTATATACGCTAAATTGTTATATTCCAGGTTTTATTTCCAATAATGCAATAAGACTTTAGTATTGCCTGTGCAGGGGGTTTTCTTACGTATTAATAGCTGTTTTAGTTATATAGTATAGATAATCCTATTGACCCATGCTTTGGGGTTTAAGCTCCGTCCCACCCCATCCCTGACCAGGATAGATGTTTTGAAGGTGGATGGAGTACAGAATATCAGGCTAGATATTAGCAGGCCTTACCTTGTACATCTACAAACTGAATAGTCTAAGTGGCATGAGGCTCAATAGCCAGTTTTTACTGTGTGGCACATAGAGAATGGTAGACATAACAAAGGCTAATCATGCATCATTTTGAATGATCTACGTATAGTGTAATACTTGTACATAAATATTTCATGTTGTGTCATCACCAAGGATGCATTTTAAGCCAATTAATGATACATGTAACTGTTTATGAAACTATTTTAACTGCAATTCAAAAATGTTTAAACTATAGCCTTTGGAGTTTTATGATTAGCTAGCTGGGCAATCTAGAGAAATCCACATCCGACCCATTCATTTCAATCCACGGGTCATTTTCCAGCAGCTTATCCCGGTCACAGATAAGGTGAAATCACCCATGCCTAATAGAGGGCCTGATATTAAAAAAAATACAATATGCCTTAAGATTTGGTCATTCTTCTTTCAGTATTAACTGCACAACATACACATCATGTACTATTAAAATGTTAAATGCAATTTAAAAAAACAAAAACAAATTCTTTTAAAAATTACCTTTACGACCATGGTAAGAAATACCTCAGTTAAGGTCTGTACCACAGACCTAGTTCAAAAATGGACTAAACTTTCAATGGTAGCTCTTATAAGAAATGGAGCAATACCAAATCTTGCTGGATATGCAGTCTTTATTTTTTTCTCACAGGTGAACGACTTCCTGTTTGAACCAGGAAACAACATTTCAAAAACAGTATTTATATGACTGGAGGTGGGAACCACCCATTTCAGACAACCTACAATAAACTAGCTGTATTCCAGTATTGAACTAGTAAACAAATTAATCTTGAAATAAAAGGCACCAGAAATACAACAGTGACACTTTTATTAACTTTGAAGTTAACATTTAAATGTTAGGCAAATTAAAGAAACTGGAATGTAGATAAATACAAAATTATGTAACAAAAATGGAAACATGGGGAAAAAAAATTTACAATAAATTTTAAATTGAAAAATCAGGACAGGGCAATTTACATTTGGATTAACACATTGAGGAGTTTATGGAATCATTAGTCAACTTCTTCCATCCTGGATGAGTCATCTTCCCCTTCCAGTGGGGGTATATCTTCAATATTAGCACCACCTGTTTCAGCTTCCGTAGGCATGTCATCCTCATCAATTCCTGGAGAGACGCAATATAGTTTTATTGTGGCAAATCCTTGACTTCAAGGATAAATGATATGCAATACCATTTGGCTCTGAAGAAAATTTAACTCCTTTGAAAACCTACTCAAATAGCAATTGACTCACCCAGCCCAAGTTTGATCATTCTGTAGATGCGGTTCGAGTGAGTCTGTGGGTCATCAAGCGTAAACCCTGATGACAGCAGGGCAGTCTCAAAGAGTAGAATAACCAAGTCCTTCACAGACTTGTCATTCTTGTCAGCCTCAGCCTTCTGCCTGAGTGTCTCGATAATGGGGTGCTCAGGGTTGATCTCCAGGTGTTTCTTGGCTGCCATGTAGCCCATAGTGGAGTTGTCCCTTAGTGCCTGTGCTTTCATGATCCTCTCCATGTTGGCAGTCCAGCCATATGTGCTGGTAACAATGCAGCATGGAGAAGAGACCAATCGGTTGGACACAGTGACCTATATTAGTAGGGAAAAGCAAGTTTTTAAAATCTTCCATAAATCTCATTTTGTACAGTGAAACAACAGCTAGACGTATTTGGCCAATAGGCATTCTCACCTTCTCCACTTTCTTCTCCAGGATGTCTTTCATTATCTTGCAGAGATTCTCAAACTGGGCTTTCTTTTCCTCCTGCTTCTTTTTCTCATCCTCATCTTCAGGCAGCTCCAGGCCCTCTTTGGTGACAGATACTAAATTCTTCCCCTCAAACTCCTTAAGTTGCTGGACACAATACTCATCAATGGGCTCAATCATGTAGACAACTTCAAGGCCAGCCTTACGAAGGCGTTCAACGAAGGCGGAATTGGCCACCTGATCTTTAGTCTCGCCTACAAAAAGATGATGTGATTAGAACACCCACAGTACTAAAATTAAAACAAAACTAAAATGTATATTTTGTATCGCCCAGAATTTAGGTACTTTCCCTTAGGTACTTAAGTATGTTTGCAACACATCTTACCCGTGATGTAATAGATGTGCTTCTGATTCTCCTTCATGCGTGTGACATAGTCTTTGAGGGAGACCATCTCATCACCAGAAGCAGATGTATAGTATCTCAGGAGCTCAGACAACTTCTTGCGGTTCTGAGAGTCTTCATGGATTCCAAGCTGAAATGAAACAAAGAAACCTTTAATTCCTTTGAACTACAGCCCCTTACGCAATAATTCAAATGCAATAAGTGGGGTGTTTTTTTTTTTTTTAAATAGATTTATAATAATAATAATAATAATAATAATAATATAATAATAGCCATTCAATCCATTATACAGCAGACCATCTCACCTTTATATTCTTGGAGAACTGTTCATAGAATTTTTTGTAGTTGTCTTTATCCTCCGAGAGCTCCGTAAACAGCTCCAAGCACTTCTTCACCAGGTTTTTACGGATCACCTTCAGGATCTTGCTCTGTTGCAGCATCTCTCTTGAGATATTCAGGGGAAGGTCCTCGGAATCCACCACACCTTTGATGAAATCTGCCGGGGAGGGTTAAAAAATAAAAATAAAAATCAGCATTTGAAGACATTTTCCTGGGCTCTGATGGACACAGTATATACACAAATAAGTCTAGAAGCATCTTACTGAGGTACTCAGGGATAAGTTCATCACAGTTATCCATGATGAAGACCCTGCGCACATAGAGCTTGATATTGTTCTTTTTCTTCTTGTTTTCAAACAGGTCAAAAGGAGCGCGCCTGGGCACAAACAGCAGAGCCCTGAACTCAAGTTGGCCCTCAACTGAGAAGTGCTGTGGTGAGGAAATAAAGACAAGCAAGTTGAAACAAGAGAGAACAGACAAACCAGAAAGCCCAGATCTCATTTAGTAGGACAGCACTTTGAGTGTAACCACACTGTGTAAGATATAAGATCAGCTGTCAGTCACAACTCACCTTCACAGCCAAGTGGTCTTCCCAGTCATTGGTGAGGCTCTTGTAGAATTCACCATACTCCTCATTAGTGATATCATCAGGGTTCCTTGTCCAAATAGGCTTTGTTTTGTTCAGCTCTTCCTTGTCGGTGTACTTCTCCTTGATCTTCTTTTTCTTCTTGTCAGTGCTCTTCTTTTCATCTTCCTCCTCATCAGAACCTACATCCTCAATCTCTGGTTTGTCTTCCTCTGTCTCTTTTTCCTCTTTGTCCCCCTTATCCTTTTCTTCTTCTGCCTCATCATCACTGACTTCCTTGTCACGTTCCTTTTCCACCTGTGGGAAGGGAATAAGGTTGATTTAATGGCAGAGAACAGTCTGGAAACATTACATTAGCAGCATTATTGTACGTTTGTCTAACAGCTTCCATGGAACCACTTACAAATAGTGTGATGGGGTACCCAATGAACTGGGAGTGCTTCTTCACAATCTCTTTCACCCTGCGGTCTTCGAGGTATTCCGCCTGGTCATCCTTCAGATGCAGAATCACCTTTGTGCCCCGTCCCAATGGTTCAGCTAATGGGCAAACAGGTATTAGGTCAGTTAAGTAACTAATTTCCTTGATTTCTGAAATGCTTTGACCTTTGTACAAAACATTTTACTTGCACTGTTAAAAGTAAAATATGCTAGCTGAATTTAATTTCTTAATTATAAATTGATCAAAGTTTATTCTTACAATTGTCCACTTTAACTGTGAAGGAACCTCCAGCAGAGGACTCCCAGGCGTACTGCTCATCATCGTTGTGCTTGGTGATGACAGACACTTTCTCTGCCACCAGGTAAGCAGAGTAGAAGCCCACACCAAACTGGCCAATCATGGAGATGTCAGCTCCAGCCTGCAGGGCTTCCATGAAGGCCTTGGTTCCTGATTTGGCAATCGTACCCAGGTTGTTGATCAGGTCAGCTTTGGTCATCCCAATACCAGTGTCAATGAGAGTCAAGGTACGCTCCTCTTTGTTGGGAATTATATCAATCTTGAGATCTTTTCCAGTGTCCAATTTAGATGGTTCTGTAAGACTTTCATACCGGATTTTGTCGAGTGCCTAGAACAGCAAAAAAAAAAAGAACCTTAGAACTTCTAATTCCCACAAAAACACACACACACACACACACAAATTAAGTCATTTTAATATTTATAATTTTCCAATATACTCACATCTGACGAGTTGGAGATAATCTCCCTGAGGAAGATCTCTTTGTTAGAATAAAACGTGTTGATGATCAAGGACATCAGCTGAGCAATCTCTGCCTGAAAGGCAAAGGTCTCCACCTCATCCTCCATGGGTTGATCCTGTGGTTCAGGCATCTAAATAAATGGATTAAATAATTTTCAAATCAAAAACCTTTGAATATCTAAGTTATATTAAATGATTTCTATCCCTTAGGGCACCACACCCATTAATTATGCCAGTCTTTTGTAATCAGATTTAAGATTTAAAAAAAGACTGAATATATTAGCAGTTATGCTTAACATTATCCCACTTCCTGGACACATTGACGGGCTTTTAAGTTTAGAAATCTCACTGAAAG